GAAATCCCAAGATTTGGGAATAAAAGAAAAAAATTTCTCTAGCTCTACGAGGTGCTGCCCATATGAAGTTCCTGCCAAAAGATGCCGGAATTAATGAAAAGACAAAGGGACTTGGATCTGCTACTCCTGGGAATTTCATAGTTCAGCCACGACAAAAGAAGAAAAGGGATGAAAGCAACAGAAGAAAAAGAAAAGCTCAAACAAGAAAGAAAACTAGATCCCACTTTGATTGTTTGAGCACCGTTCGTCTCCATTACCCCGCCGGACCTCTGGTTTCCAATCAAGATTTCTACGGGTGAGAGGGGTGCTAGAGCTGTCCCGTCAGCTGTCACGTCGTCTGTCTGCAACTTCTCTCCAAAAAAAACACGTTATCGCTAAAGCAGTGGACACAGATGTCGAGGCATGCGGTTCCCGAGGCAGGGAGAGAGTTGCGACTCAAATCAGCTCTGCCCTCCCCGCCGCCATCACTGACTCCACGCTCTAGTACTCGACGCCCGCAGTTGCCTCGGCGGTGGCGGAAGAAAAGATTCAACTGGAGAAAAGAAATTAAAAAAAAAAGAGGGAGAGAAGGATCTCTTGGTGGAGCGGTACTGTTCGTGAAACAGGAAGGAGTTGTGGAAGGAAAGAAAAAAAAATTAGGGGAAAGGCGTACTTGGTTTGGAGTTTTAAGTGGGGCGGAGGATCTAAATCCCCACTGCGCTCCAACTCGTATCCCCACTGCGAGTCTGACCCGCCTCCAATACTTAGCCCACTCCGCTCCAACTGCAATTGGCGGCCCACACATCAAGTCCCCAAGCGGGCTTCCAAAGCCCCCACAAAACCCGCGGGCCCAATTCGCCTCACGGGCCGAGTCCTCTTCAACCCATATGCACGGCATTCTATTAGGAAAAAAAATGATGAAGCTGCTTCCGCCGTGATTCGAACCCGCGCCACCATTTCACCTCACAAGTGCAATGACCAGTACGCAAGAAGCCAAACTTGTAAAACTTGTGGGAGCCGCTTTTATAATAAGATTGTATAGACACCGTCCCACGAGTTTCATTCGAGCCACCTCTAGTCCACTCCGTGAGACACGCCCCAATCACTCGCGCCTCACGCACACGGTCCAACCTCGCATCTCCCGCCCTGCAAGATCAAGCCCGCTCACTCTCATTCCACATTGGCCCGCTCACATCCTCAACTCGCGGCCCACAACACTCGCGGCCCGACTCACAGGCGCCCCAACTCGCGGCCCGCGTTCAGCTTCCGCCGCCTCGACACTCGCGTCCAGACTCGCAGGCGGCCCAACTCGCGGCCCGCATCCTCCACGAGATCCACCCCTCAAGGCCCGCCAAGCCCAAGCTCCGCTTCGCTTCCTAAAAGAAAAATTGTTGTCGCCACCAGCCTTCGAACCCGCACCACTCCTCCACAAGACAAGCATCCTTACCCGCAAGCTAAATTTGCGACTTGTGACCCTTTGGCACAGTACTCTCATTTTAACAACACTCCACGCGTTGATGAAGCCCAAGTCGCGGCCCAAACTCGCGGATCCGTGTCCGCCCCACCTTCATACTTTCGGCCAAGGTTCAAAAAGGCGCTAGGCGTAAGGAAGGCGTTGAGCCTTTGCCTTGCGCCTAGCTCGCCTAGGCGTTGACTAAGCGTGCCTAGGCGTTGGAAGAAAATAGCTATTCGCAGTGCATGATAAATGAAATAATAATATACGACACTTCCTCACTTCAGTTAAAATGATTAATAACTTACTCAACACTTAATGACAGGAATATAGCTTACGAGTTCATAGAATCATAGCTCAAAAGTTAACAAAGTTCTTGAGTTATTGAAAATATTGCAATAAAAATTGATTTCATAGTTGATGTTAATTTTGGTATTTAATATTGACTTCTTAGCTCCATCTAGTAATGTTTAGGAGATACTTATATGTCGTCGTACTCCATTAACGTGTTCTAGTATCTAATTAGGCGCAAAATCCCTAAGTGAGGCGTTTTGCCATTGCCTTGCGCATAGGCGAGCCTAAGCGTAAGATTAAACGTGCCTTTTTGAACCATGCTTTCGGCCCGCGCAACGGAGTGAAGCCGTAGAATGAAAAGCATCACAAAAATCATGCGCTTGATTGGGGATTCGAACCAGGGTTCAATCACTCGTGTGCAAGCAACATCACCAGCAGGCTACAAGCGAGCCTTGTGTTTCAATGGTGCGGCGTCTGAATTTTAACATTCGCGCCCACTCAGTTCGAAAGAACAAAAAATAGCAATAGTCCCGCACTATTCGCGCCCATTCAGTTCATCAAGAACAAAAAATAGCAATAGTCCAGCACTATTCGCGCCCACTCAGTTCGAAAGAACAAAAAGTCGCAATAGTCACGAACTATTCGCGCCCACTCAGTTCCACGGAACAAAAAATAGCAATAGTCATGCACTATTCGCGCCCACTCAGTTCCACGGAACAAAAAATAGCAATAGTCCCGCACTATTCGCGCCCACTCAGTTCGAAAGAACCACAAAAAAAAAGAGAGAAAGAGCCGTCTGGCAACCAAGCCCACTCGCGGTCGCGGCCCAACAGTGTGCCGCGGTCCGCTCCGCCTTTATCTCCGGAAAAAAAAAAAATTTTTGATGCTCCCACAGGGAATTGAACCCACGCCAGTCCTCAGTCAGACAAGCGACATAACCAGTATGCCACAACATTAATTGGTGAGAAACTAGGCGGAGCGCTCTATTTCATCATCCGCAAGTCGTCTCTCCAAAGCACAGAAGATTACTTCACTCGCGGCCCACCCACGAAAGATGGGCAACACATCACCCGCTTCTCGTTCACAAGCGCGCAGCAAGGTGGATCCACACTCGCGCTGCCCAGGCCCCCGCCCGCTTAAATCCATCTGATCCGCCTAACAAGCCCACCCTCCGCCTGACCTTCAGTCCGCCACGTCCGGCCCGCGTCACCAGCACTCGACGCGCGCAAGCCCAACTCGCGCGAGCACTCGAGGCGCGCAAGCCCAACTCGCGGCCCAACTCGCGCAGCATCTTCCCCCAGCCCGCGACGCGCGCAAGCGGCCCAACTCGCGCGAGCACTCGACGCGCGCAAGCCCAACTCGCGGCCCAACCCGCGCAGCATCTTCCCCAGCCCGCGACGCGTGCAAGCCCAACTCGCGTCCGGCCCGCGTCACCAGTCCGCCCCGTCCATCCTTGCTCCACTCTGAGTCAAAAATATTATTGCCACCAACAGGAATTGAACTCACGTCCTTCCTCCGCTAGACAAGCAACATCACCAGTGGGCTACATACGCGCTTAGTGATTCGATGGCGCAGCGTCTGATTTTCAACTACTCCTGCCGCCACGGTACCAATATAAAGCTAAGTACTCTATCATTAATAAATTTGAAAAATTTTTACTTCCATGAGCGTTAATGGCGCTGATGGGGGGCCAAACTCAAGAAGCTGGCACCGCGTCAGTCAAACGCGCCACCAGCTGGGGGGCAACTGGGGTACATAGGGCCCCACCCAAAATTACCGACGAAGATTTAAAAAATAAAATATAAGCTCGTGATGAGTTAAAACTCACCACCAGCTTGGGGGGCAATTGTTGGGGGTGTTGCTAAGAGACTCCCCGCAGAGAATAAGTAATACCGCGTCCAATCGACAACGTATGACGCTCTAAACCCGCTACGAGTATATAAAGGTATGAAACCCACCAATGGAGGGGACTTCTTCCCTCTCTCCTCACTTTCCACTATCTCTCTACACTTTATTTCTCTATCTATTCTCTCAACTCTCTCCACAAACAGACACTGACTTGATCGTCGGAGCTTAATCCGGGGGGCAACCCCGGCTCTTTCACAGGTTCTCTCCCTCCCGACGGGATCGGACGAACGGATGACGAGTCAACCCACACCAAAAAATATCATTGTTCGATCCGGAGCAAGATGGTTCAAACAACAGTCATTTGGATGAATTCTTCGTGTCCTACACCAGTTTACGTTTATTGGTATCATTAAAACCAATTGATTATTGTTCAATCTCATTTCTGGTCAATTTTTTACGACGAGGGAGTTTCGTTGTAACATATGAATTGCGAGTTTGAATATTTCTTCTTCTGCAAGACGACGGTTAGTTGGCTTCGCTCTTCAAGCACAAGAGTTCGTCGAATTTGCATCACATAGACATAAGAACAAACAAAACAATATAAGTGAAAACATACCTTTTTTTTTTTTTACACATAAACATACTTGATTTTAGTGAGAAAAAAATATTTTAGAAGAAAAGCCTTTGAAATGATCTGTTACTCTAACCATTGGATTTTTTTTAATATTTCTTATTTAGAGGATTAGAAATTTAAATTGTTATTGGTTGAATCACCATCATCCTTTATTTGTATTAGATTTGGGTCCGGCCCGTTATCCACATATATTTTATTAATGTCTTAATAATTATTATTTGATAAAATAACGTTTTATTTGCTATCAGAAAATAGCCTAAATTATCTAAGTATTGAAAATTCGCAAATTGATATAAAACATAATTTTTACTTAATAGAATTTATCTTATCCAAGCAATAAACATTATATCCACTTCTTTCTCTCTATCATTGAAATTTATTTATCTATCAATAGTCTCTTTCCTTTTTTTCTCAAATTGTTATTATCTTTATCAGTAATTACACTAAACATAAATTAAATATTTGCGATTGTCCACGTTACTCGGAACTAGAACCTGGATTTTTAAACCGATTCCAAAATATCTCCTCTTGGAAGTAGGCGGCAATAGGCCGATTAGCCCTTCGGCGGCAGGATAGTTCACCCAAAGCCCATCTTTCAGGCCCAAACTTGGGCCCAAATAATTCACAAATCATTACTGGGGTCTGGGCGCATGGCATGCCTCTTTCAAGTCCGTGCTCCCCGAAATCAGCAAAGTGTGTTGGGGAAATAATTTGGAGAATAATCAATAACTCCCCCTTCACACGGAAATACCCAAAAACGTCCCCAAAACATGTCCAAATGCCAACATATAGCATAACCAACCGATCGAGCAGAACAATTCAGCTTCTTAACTTCAATGGTTGTTCCCATAATTGGACGGTGCAAGATCCAACGTGTCAAACGGCCGGACGAGCTATAAATGGTGAGCCAACTCGCACCATGATTTCTCACCAACATCACACACACACAACTGAAACAACACCACCAAACAGCGGGGGTGAAGAAGAAGAAAAGGATTGTGCCATGTCGCAATTGGCAGTGCTGGCAGTTCTCCTCTTCGTCGGCCTTTCGAGCTTCGCAGAAGCCAGGCACGGCAACTCGACCGTCGTCCGAGGGCCAAGCTGCTCGGGGTGGTCGGAGAACAAGCTGTACAGCAAAAACGTGGCGAACCTCATCGACAAGCTGGTGGACGAGACAAGGAAGGTGCACAGGGAGCGCGGCGATGACGAAGACTACAGGTACACTCGCGACTTCCCGGCTAATTGCCACTCCGGCACCGGCGCCACCGGCGGGGCAACGTGCGACAAGCACCTCGGCAATCTCGATTGCTGGGGATGCCTCCTCGTTGCGAAGAGCAAGTTCAGATCCGGCAATTGCGACGACAATCCCATCCGTGGCGCCGTCCAGCTCAGGGATTGCTCCATGTGGTTCAGAAAGTACCATTCACGTCTCACCACTTAAAAACGTTCCATTTCTTCTCTCTAATTGATCTAATTTTGTACCTTTTGTTGTTTAAGCTCTTCAATTTGGGTGTGTTACAAACTGAAGCATGAATGAAGAACTCCTGTCTTTAAACTTTAATGGCGTCTACGAAGATGAACACTAAATCACATTTCCATCCAAAACACTATTAGAAGTCGACATTCACAGCTTCGTTTATTCGGACAAAACCCTAAACCCTTGAAAGTGCTCACTCTGCAAAAGAAAAACACCAGCGCGCGGTAATCAATCAACGCTGACATTAATCACATCCTTCCTCTCCTCCTCCTTCACCTTCGGCACCGTTACCTTCAGCACTCCGTTCTTCATCTCCGCCTTGACCTGATCCGTCCTGTAGATCTTCTCCGGCAGATCGATCCTGCTCGAGTACCTCCTCGAGCTCTCCTCGTCGTCCGATTCCTTCCCTCCTTCGCCCCTGATCACCAGGGTGTTCTGCTCCACCGAGACCTTCACGTCTTCTTTCCCCAGCCCAGGCATGTCCACGCGCAGCTGCAGATCCTCCTCCGTCTCGCGAGCGTCCCAGCCCCGCCGGACTCCGCCGCCTCCGGCGCTGCGAGCCGGGGAGAGCAGGGGATTCTCCATGAACTGGTCCATCAGGTTCAGCACCTGGCTCAAGCTCCTCGTCGGCGAGAACGGATCAAATACCTCTGCGATTTACAATTACATATCAAATTAAGCACGGATTTCGTGGGGGAATTGCAATAAGGGACGAATTGGGGGAGAAGTACAGCGAGGATCTAGAAGACGACTACCTGAGAGGAAATCGTCGCGGCCGCGCGGGAACGGGCGGCGAGAGCGACGATCGACATCCATCTGGCGTTCGTCTCCGTCTTCGTCGTAATTGCGGACGGCGTTGGTGTTGAAGAGACGGGAGGCAGACGGAGTGGCGGCTCCCATCGGGCGAACCATGCGAAGAGAGCTGGGAAGCAGAGAGGAGGAGACGAGCTTCTTCAGAGCAAGTGAGGACGCCATTGTTGCAGAGATTCGATTGGAAAGCAGAAACCTAGAAAAATGCAACCGTTTAAGACTTTTCCCGATAGCTATCGACTTTGCAGAAAGGTCTGGGATGGAATTTATAAGGGGATTTCGAAGGTGCTAGAGACGGTGTACGAAGCACAGAAGAGAAAGAGTGAGAAAGTTCTGGAAATCCTGTGAGTGATGGATAATTCTAGATTTGCCACCTCAGCCCGTGCTACTTGCTTTCCAAGAATTAGTAATTTTCACTTTAATACCTTCAGTTTCCTATCTCATTTTTAACTCCTTCAACTTTAAGTACTACAATAATAATCCCTATAATATATTGGTACGTCAGAATAGCACATATACTTTCAAAGATAACATTTAACTCACAATAATTAAGAATTTCATCAAGATCAAAACCCAATAGTTTATCAAATTTCAATTTCAATATTTGAAGCAGTTGCGGACTGGCCATTGATAAAATTAGCTCAGCGGAGTAATGGACTGAGGAAGTTTGTAGCGGATGAATCTTGAATCCTGAGGAAACGGAGGTAAAGTAATCGATAACTCAAGCGGAGAAGATGATGCTGGATCTAGGACCGTTCTCCGACGAGAAATTCGACCCCAAGAAATGGATCAACGCCGCTTGCCAGTCCCGGCACCCGCAGGAATCCCTCGACGACCACCTCGTCGATATGGAAATGAAGCTGCAGATGATGTCCGAGGAGATCGCGGCGTCGCTGGAGGAGCAAAGCGCCGCCGCGCTCCTCCGCGTCCCTCGCGCGACTCGTGACGTTGTTCGCCTCCGCGATGATGCCGTTTCGCTGCGCAGCTCGATCTCCGCAATACTTCAGAAGCTCAAAAAGGTTTTCCTCTTTTGGCTTTCATTGAATGGAGATCTGTGCATTGCTCTAGTGTGGGGAATGAAGCAAATTAGCTGGAGATTTGATAATTCTACTGCGTTTTGGTTTGATCTGTGTAGGCGGAGGGATCTTCGGCTGAATCTATAGCGGCTCTTGCTAAAGTTGATACCGTAAAGCAGAGAATGGAAGCTGCATACGAGACTCTACAGGTATTCATTTCTGAAAATTAACGGGAAGAACGCAATTTACCGATTGTTATGTATCTGGATGATGAATTGATTACTTATTTATTGATGCATTTCATGGCAGGATGCAGCGGGGTTAACCCAATTAAGTTCTACAGTGGAGGATGTGTTTGCCAGTGGTGATCTTCCTCGTGCTGCGGAAACATTGGCCAATATGAGACACTGCTTATCTGCTGTTGGCGAGGTTATTATCAAGTGCCGTTGATCTACCATCCATGTTTTATGTTTTCATGTTGCTGATAGTGTTAACTCGGTTGCTCATTCTTTTATCAACTCTCTCTGCTTTAGGTTGCTGAATTTGCTAATGTGAGAAAGCAACTTGAGGTCTTAGAGGATAGGCTTGATTCCATGGTGCAGCCTCGTCTAACCGACGCATTATCAAACCGCAAGGTTACCCATGATCCTGGAGAACTTGTTCTTCCTTTAGTTTAGTTTCGTTTTTTGCATTTCTGTTAGTTGGGGGTTTCACTCAAATGCCTACTGTTGTACAGGTTGACGTTGCACAGGACTTGCGTGGAATTCTGATGAGAATTGGCAGGTTTAAGTCTCTGGAGATGCATTATACTAAAGTTCATTTGAAGTCCATCAAGCAGTTGTGGGAAGATTTTGATACAAGGCAGCAAACTGCCAAGCAAGCAAATGGGAGGAATGAGTTCGAAAGGACATCAGGCAACAATGATCTGCCAACAGTTCCGTTCTCAAGTTGGTTGCCGAGCTTCTATGATGAACTGCTGATGTATCTTGAACAGGAATGGAAGTGGTATTTTCTTCTTCCTTGGTTCCCCAAATTTCAATCTCAACTGGTTTCTCTAAAAGGGGAAAATTCTATCTTCCAGCTATTATAAGCTGTGACGGCCATTTAGAACTGAGGAGAAGACTTCGCTAGTTAATCCTATTTGACATGGCAGGCAATCTTTCCAGTTATTAAGGAACAATGACTTGCTAGGTAGACTAGATGGTATCTTTTTCAGGCTCAAACAAATATGTATGTTAGATTTTAAAATGTTTGGTCCTTCATCTGAGCATTAGTTTTCAGATTGTGCAACAACCTTGGCCTTCAAAGAATGTCATTGGGGACAAACAAGTTGGTACACATTCTCTGTTATACTGTTGAAGTCCTATGCTGTATTGTTAGTCCTTTTTGCTATCGTTGTAATAAATTGTCTTGGGTAGTGAACATCAGAAGTCAGTGAATTATGTCTACCTACATGCTTTTTGTGCTAGTTCTATCTCATCTTTCAAACCAGAGTCTTAAATTACTGTTACAGGTGCATGGTTGCGTTCCCTGATGATTATAAGATGCTGGTACCAAAGCTACTAGTTGAGACAATGGCAGCTGTAGGAGCAAGTTTTGTCTCTCGTCTTAACCTTGCCACTGGAGAAGTCCTTCCTGAAACTAAAGCACTTTCAAAAGGTCTATCCAATCATCATTTACCTTCCTCATTGTCATATTTCTTATGTTTTTCTGTCGATCCAATAACTAGTTTACTAGATATATAATGGTTTCCATAAGACGATTATTGTTCCTAAAAGCTGAGATATTGCTCAGTTCCCCAATAGAAGCAAGGTAGTTATGTCTTTTCAGATTCTTCTTTTTCTTATTTTACTCTCCTGTTGAAGTTCATATCTCCATTTAACATTTCAGGCATACTGGATATTTTGTCGGGAGATATGCCAAAAGGCATCAAGATTCAGACTAAGCACCTGGAAGCACTAATCGAATTGCACAATACAACTGGTACCTTTGCAAGGAATATCCAGCACTTATTTTCAGAATCTGATCTTCGAGTTCTCATGGATACACTGAAGGCTGTTTACCTGCCATATGAATCGTACAAACAGAGGTGAGCTATTGTTGACTGAAATGAAGGGGTCCCCCCTGTGTTCAATACTTCTCTGTTTGAGTTTTTAGCACAATAGATCTGTTATTCTCTAGTTCGTTGAACTTCTTGTATTCCCCAGCTCCAGAAACCAAGTGATTATCTTATTTGGCTGACCTATTATTCTTGTAGGTATGGACAGATGGAGCGTGCCATCCTGTCGTCTGAGATTGCTGGGGTTGATCTAAGAGGAGCGGTTACTCGTGGTGTGGGAGCCCAAGGAATTGAACTGAGTGAAACAGTACGAAGGATGGAAGAGTCTATTCCACAAGTAATTGTTCTTTTAGAAGCTTCTGTTGAGAGATGCCTCAGCTTTACTGGTGGGTCTGAGGTGGACGAGCTGCTTCTTGCACTTGATGATATAATGCTCCAGTACATCTCTTCTCTTCAAGAAACCCTCAGATCATTAAGGGCTGTCTGTGGAGTGGATAATAATAATATTGATCCCAAGGAAGGGAATCAAAGTACACGGAAAGCTGACTTGTCCTCAAACGAAGAGGAATGGTCAATTGTCCAGGGTGCCCTTCAAATACTTACAGTTGCAGACTGTTTGACTAGCAGATCATCTGTGTTTGAAGCATCCTTGAGAGCTGCTCTAGCTAGAATAAGCACGAGTCTGTCATTTTCTGTGTTTGGATCAAGTTTGGACCACAACTATTCGCATGGGGGAAATAATGATGGAGATGGAGAACCTTCTTTGGGTGGAAGAGCTGCTTTGGACGTGGCAGCTGTACGTCTCGTCGATGTTCCTGAGAAGGCCCGGAAATTATTTAACCTATTGGATCAGGTACACGATTTTACATGTCTTGCGATCACTTTCAGATCCCAACTTTTCCTGAAGTTACTTAGTTTTTCAGCCAAAACAAATACATTGTTATCATCTGCTCACCTCGCTGATTCCTAAATAATCATTCACATGCATTTGCAGTCTAAAGACCCGAGATTTCACGCTCTTCCCCACGCATCACAGAGAGTTGCAGGATTCGCTGATACGGTCAATGAACTTGTGTACGATGTCCTCATATCTAAGGTAAGGCAACGCCTGAGCGACGTATCGCGTTTGCCTATCTGGTCAGCAGTTGAAGAGCAGAGCGCTTTCCATCTCCCAACCTTCAGTGCCTACCCACAAGCCTACGTCACCAGCATTGGGGAGTACCTACTCACTTTACCCCAGCAGATGGAGCCACTTGCCGAGGGCATTTCAAATAGTGATTCCAACAATGACGAAGCCCAGTTCTTTGCAGCCGAATGGATGTTCAAGGTATGCAACATATATCCTATATGTTTGGTTTGATGCCAACTCTATTTCGAAAATTATTGTTGATTCAGGGTTCCTTCGCTTTCGCAGGTTGCAGAGGGGGCGACTGCTCTTTACATAGAGCAGTTGAGAGGAATTCAATATATAACTGACAAGGGAGCTCAGCAACTAGCAGTCGATATCGAGTACTTGAGCAATGTGCTTTCGGCTTTGTCAATGGAGGTCCCTCCTGCTCTTGCAACGTTTCAGACATGTCTCTCAGCGCCTAGAGACCAACTGAGGAACCTTGTAAAATCTGAGACCCAACTCGACTTCCCCACGGCAAATCTTGTTTGTAAGATTCGACGAGTGAGCTTAGATTAGAACAAAGAAATTGTATTATTACAACTTAAGGACTAAAGAAAATTCTTGCATCATATTGCAATTCGGCTTCTGATTCTTGTTGCGACCTTATGTGTTATCTGACGCTTTACTCTTTTTTCCTTATGATCAAGTTTCGCTTTTCATACCACATTGTAAGCACTGTATTGAACATTGCAAATTGCTGCAGTCTTTGACAACAAATTTCGTCACACAAGGGAAATAGATAACGAAGGTGAATCCTTCCATTCATGGCTGGTTTTCACCAAACTAGACTCTCACAATGTATTGATGGCCAAGGGAGTACAAATAATCAAGTTCATTAGGGTTCTATTCCATCACACTTGTGCTACAGAACAGAAGGTCAGATCGAAAGCCAAAGTCGTCTTCGTATCAACATCTTTCATCCAGCTCTTCACCCAAGCGCTTACCTTTCCTGCAAACTAAAATACAAGTACAGCCATTCTGCAGACATATCATAGGTGCATTTAGGTTTACCTCAAGCACATCCACACCAGTGCTAGTCCGTAAGCTTGTTTAACGTTTTTAGAAAGTTCTGGTAGCACTGAAGTAGATTTCCAAGCATGTCAAGACCAATACCATGGATTAACAGTTGTTCCAAGGCAGAGCTACAAAAGGTTGAAATGAAACTTTACCCAGCTAAGAGAAAGTAGTTACCCCATAACCAGCTAATATGCCTGGACATTAAGCCGTTGAGACCATTGTGGTGTTGAAACAAGAAAATGGCAAAGAAGCCATTACACCTATTACCATCCAGCAAACCTATGTTCAACCAGGCTTAACAATCACTAATATGTGATCACGAACTTGCTATTAGATGACTTCAAACTTGCATTAACAAGGGGTATTTGAGATTCCTGGAAACGAACTAGCAGTTCGAAATAATGTTACCTCCACTCTAGCTGAGTTGACATACAAAATCCACGATATGAGGACCAAGAAAATTCACTGTCATGGTCATGAAAGAAAGATGATATTAATTTGTTACCTTTAAACTAAGACATGTAATATATCATCATTCTATAGCAGTAGTGACATTCAACAACATAATCTTGAGTCCGCCCCATCAGAATTCAGAACAGATCTGTCATCAAATGACATAGAAAGAGAAATGAAGGAGAATACCTCTAACATTGATGTTCCGTAATGGCATAAAGTTCATCCAAGCTTCAGGTAAACACACGAGTAGCACAAATTTCAAGTTATACCTACCTCAACCAAGTTCTCCTCTTAAGAGTACTGATGAAAGTGGGGTACAGTCTCATTAAAGCTGTGATATAGAAAGAAAGAAAATTTTGGCATCCAAGATGATGATTTAGCTGTAGGACTCCAAAGCATTGGTTCAGAAGACTTGAGATTGAAAATGACTACCTCATGGGATAGCTAAAAGCTCAGACATCTATCTACTGAACCCACTAATACGGACGAGCAGGACTTCTCGAGGACCTCCTTCTACCACTGTGCCTCCCAGGAGACCGTGATCGACTCCGATCATAGTACCTATCCCTTCCGTTCCTGGAACCCTTTCCACCATCCCGATTTCTACCATTCCTTTCCCTTGACCTTCCATTGTCACGGCATCTGTCCCGCTCTCTGTCCCTGTCTCGGTCCTGATAGCGATCCCTTTCACCCGATACACTCCTTCGACTCCTGTCAGGTTCCTTCTCCTGTTGCTTCCTTCGTTCTTCAGCTTCTTTCTCCTTTGCTAATCTTTCCTCTTCCTTTGCCTTTTCCCTAGCTTCCTGGAGAGTGTGTATTCGAAATTTTCAGATTACCAACTAAAAACTAGAGAAACAAGATGATGATTATGTATGTTGCTGTTGGAAAAAGTTGTCACTTACCTTGCACTCACTGATGAAATCTCGAACTAAGCCATAGCCCAGGTGCTGCTTCCCTGTTATATGAGATTGTGTCCTCTCTGCAGCATCATTTGCAACCAGAAAAGAACCACAGATCTCACACAAGGCCATCTTTTTCTCCGGAAGGACCAGCGGCAATTTGTCACCCTGTGCTTGAATCAGCACTTTCTCCAAATTCAATTCGTCTACCTGAGAAAAACGCAACACAAAACATGCTCAAAAATGTTTCCACAGCCGGAAAAAATGAGGTAAATGAACCATGCTGTGTAGCAAGCCATAAACCCAAGAAACTACAGGAATATGATCATGTTCCCAGTTAAACTAAAGCTCACCTTTTTCATAAGAGCTTGAGCTTCATCAACTTTCCCAGCCTCACCAAGGGCCTCCACTTGCCCCAGCAAATTCTTTATCTTCTCTTCAACCACAGCTAATTGTTCAGACTTCTCGGCTGATAGTGGAGGAGGCGGTACAGGTTCTTCACCTTGAGCAAGACGTTCGCGACCACGTCTAACTCTTCTATCCAAATCCATCACCTACAAATAGATCACACCAGCAGAGTCTCAATAAACATCATGTATCACTCGATCCACAACAAGAAATAAAAACCCCTACGGGCATAGAGAAGGTTTACCAATTTATCACACCGCTGAGCAAGCTCGGACTCGAATTTGATCAAGAACTTGTCATGCCTCGGAGACTTCTCAAAGCTAAATTCTCAGATGAACAGTACCAATCAAATGGATCAGACCATGGTATGGTAATGTACAATACCAGAGCAGAAACAAATCATCACAATACACTACCGATAATGTGATACCCCAACACTACCTTTCCTTGAGCTTCGGATCGTGGACTCTATCACATGCCCCTGTCATTGAGGAGAAATCAAATTTGCGAATATAAGCAAATGACCAAAGGTGTATCAGTTTGCAAAACTAGCAGAATTCCCAATAAGCCACGAACCTACCAAGTTACGAGCAGTCGTCGAATTCAAACCATTACTACTACTAAAGCTGAACCCAAAAACACACAGAAACTCACCGAGATCGCTCTTAGTGTTGACAAAGAGGTCATGAGGGCAGAATCGAGCCATGTAGTACGGACATACTTCCTTGGAATCCCATGTTATTTCCTTGTAATCCTTCCTCTCGTCCTCCGTCAAATTACGATCTAACCACCAAACCCCAAACCGGAAATGGCAAATCAAAATCAGCACGAATGGAATCAACGTATCCAACAGCCATTCACAATCAATCGCAGAAGTGTTTACCTGCGCCCATGAGCTCGTCCAACATTGCTCTCTGGAGGTCCATGGCGCCGGGGTGCAGGGATTTTTTGGCGCGAAGAGAAGGGAAGCAACCGAGGTCCAACGGGAAAGAGAGAGGGTTCACGGAAACGGGATTTCTAGGGTTTATGGTGGTTGTCCCGGCGCGGAAGGGAGGAAGAAGACGGTGGGGGGCTAGTAGTGCGTGGAAGAAGAGTAGCGGTTTGTGCAGGACCGAGGACAAGGCTCAATCTATTGTTAATTATAATGTATAATAGTTAAATTTGAGGGCAACCTTGGAATATTAAAAGTGCATGAGGGTATATGGGTGTGGGATTTATAAGTTCGTGGGGTCCACGGATTTGGACCATTAAAATCCGTGGGCCCCACGGATTTGGTCTCCAAAAAATGTGCAAGCAAACAACGGATTGTACCTAAATCCTTGATAGTTGGTTTTTTGGTACCAAATCCATGTACCAAATCCTTGAAGCAAACGACCCCTTAAGAATTATCTTAAGTGATTTGATTTCTATTGGCCGATAGAATGTAGGTTGTTAATAAATTGTTAGTAATTAACTGGTGGTTACGGGTAATTAATATATAAATTAATTACAAAAATTAAAAGTCTGCCGCTCTCATGAATTACCTTCCCAATTCATATGCAAATGGCGGCCTTTTTAAAAGCTACCAAATCCGCACAACAAGCTTTTTATCCCCGGTGTTGGTTTTTCATTCAATTGCATAATTATTAAAATACGGTATGAGAAAATTACGCATAAAATATGTACGGACATTATATTTTGCCTCTTAGTTAATGTTATATCTAATAGTACGTTAATAGTTATAAATATATAAAATTAATTATTTTTATAAATAAATAAATAAATAAATATGTAAAAATTAGTAAAATTAATAATTTATTTCATTAAATACGGATATTAAGCGTGTTATACGAGTTTTATATGTGTTTAGTACGGGAGCCGTCAAATGAACGGAAATGAATGAAACGGCTTGACAATAATACGAATACAGAAGTTCTAAAATAATAAAGTAAGTACGGGTACATATACGTGTATTAAACGGAGTATTTATTAACTATGTTCGACTGTCTTTTCGACTATTTAATTATGGATAGACGTAAAATTATGAATCATTAATAAATATATTTTAAATTATTAATAATGTTATTTAAACTGTTAATAATGCTGTTATATAACGTTAATAATTCCATTTCAAACGTTAATGATGAAAATATTTATGGTTAACAATTTATATTATATCTTTAACACCCTAATGTAATTTTTTAATAATGAAGTCGATTATTGTTAATGTCTTTGTTTTAGTTTTGAACAAAGACAACAATATTTGAACATTTTTAATGTCATTTGGCAATTTATATTGAATCCAAACATTATTAATGATTTTGTGTTGGTTCTCAATGAAATTCAATTTCTTTATCAATAGAGTGCACATTCGTTATTAATGGGTTTCAATATCCAAATGTTCTATATTAACACTTAATATTGAATCATAATAAAGATGTAGTAAATCAATGATAATGTTATTCAACTCTTTACTAACAATATAACATAACTTTAATAATACATTAATAAGCGTTGATAATGAAAATATAAATCGTTAGTAATTGAACTAAATTCGTTATTAATGTAACCGTAAAATATTGATAAGTATTCGGAAAATGTTAATAATGATGGGGGTATATCAATAATAATTTATTTTATAATCGCTTATAATGTAATTGAAAAACATTAATAATGTCAATGGTAGTCGACATGGAGATAGAGTGTGAACATTTTTTAATTTTCTTTTCTAATACATAAAATATTAATTACGAATTTTGATTTTTAATTTGGACTTTCATTAACTGTTAAATACTAATATTTAATTAATATCTTTTATTGCCCTTTTAGGTGGTTAGACTTCACTTTCTCCCTCCTCTTCCTATTGGCCAATAATAACTTAAAGAGTTTCTTAAGTTTCAAATTTAAGGACCGGATACAACCCGGTAGGATACTAGATTGTATCCTCGCCCGTTGACCGGTTGCAATATGATAATCGTAATTAGCAAAATTTTAAATTTCAGTAGTATCATCTTCTTTTATATTCGTGCCATGATTATATGTCAATGTCATGCGAATTAACAAACAATGATATCAATTTTACAAAATTTCATGACAATCTTTTAGTTTTTACCATCAAGAAATTCTAATTTTTCCATTGCTTGGAAAATTGAAATTGAGCATCCATAAGAAAGATTACTAACATTGCAATTGTTGCATTCTATGGAGATTCTTGTTGAAATTTAAAAGATAGAACTCATGTAAAGGTATATCAACTCATAATAAACCTAATGAAACGATATTATAAGTATTAAAAAATGATCAATGTCAATACCTCTTTGCTATAAAAAATCTCTACATCATCAACTTCACTATATTCATCATCAATAAACATTCTCTTACACATTATATGCGAAGCAACTTGAAAGATAAAAAAAAATCATATATGAAATATTATTTTCATGGTAGAACAATTTACCTTACCTAGTCACAAATGTTGTTGGAGATTTCTTTTTTCCTTCATAGATTTATCTTCTAAACCATTAATGTGGAACTTCAACTCCTTTCTTCTTCTTTTTTTTAATACTACATACCTTCATTTAAAGATAGGAGGTTTAGTAACTTTTTAGAATTAAATCTCAAAAATTTGATTTTTTGTGATCCAAAACGACAAACTCATATTGGTATCAACTCGCGTTAAGATCCATTATTTAAAGCCCAATATAAGCTTTAGTGATGTTCCTAAATGTACTAAAAATCACATGGGAAGAATGATATATAAGAGGTGATTATTACCTAGCTACTATTGTGTTTAATGTTGCTAGTCAATTCTCACAAAAAGACCCATTCAAGTTTCCTTTCATTTTATGTGTTCTATATTCAGCAATCAACATAGCACCACAAAGGATTCTTAATTTGTCAACTTAGCATTGGATAAAATGTACATTAGTCTATAGGAGTTTGATCTCTCTCTCTCTCTCTCTTTTTAATCATAAACATAATCAAAATAAATTAAATTGAGGTGCATTTTTAAATTTCAACATAATATGAAATAATATTTTTAATGGGAATAATGTTACCATGAGTGAAATTCAACCACTTGATGATTATCAAGATTAGGTAACATCAAGGTAGTTTAATTTAAGAGAATAATTTTCACCCGCAAAATTGGCCAATCATCAATAGATGAATATTTACATGCATTTATCATTTCTTTGAGAAGAAAGCAATGGTATTAGTAATTAAAAAACAATTTAACACGCGCTAAACATATTCATTTACCTTTGAGTAAAAATGACCATATTCTTGAATTGTTAAGTTAAAAACCATATGGAACTTCTTTTTTCTTTTAATGATATAATTGTATGCATGTTGAAGGACCCTAAAGTAGTTAGTAAATTCTTTTTTATTATCCATATAATATATGTATTCTATTGAATTTAAAACTCTCCTTTAGGTACTATTATAGAGTGATTTCTTTATTTTTTTAATGCTTGAAATATTTTTTTATGGTTAATAAAAAATGTCATTAAGCACGGGAGATGCCAACAAGCATTAAACTCCTCTCAAGGTTTAACAAGAAGCCTAACCTCTATACATTCAGAAACTCTATCTAAATTAATGAGAAACATGTCGAAAACTATCTTGAAGTTGTACACTTCCTGCTATAAAGTAACGAGCATCACTTTTAATCTTTAGGAACAAAGTAGAAGGAGAGCACCAATCACTATCTCCACCAACTCTTATGCACCTCTCGCGCCATAAATGGCTCAGAGTCAAAAGCCATAGAAATCGTCCAGCAATCGCCAAATCATTTGAGCCACTCCAACAATCCACACTCCATTGAAGGTGTTCCTCCCAACTATTGAAAGGGGGAACCACACAGCTTATCTGCTGCATATGTGCTTCAAAATCCACATCAAGTAAGAACACAAGCAGAAAATATGAGTACATGATTCTGATCCTCTTGGGCATAAAACACACAAATCATCAGTGTTCAATCGCCAAGCAAGTAATTTGTCTTTGGTATGTATACGACCCATTACCACAAGCCAGATTAACAGTGAATGCTTGGGATAATACGGTTTGCCCCAAATCACTTTGCTCCAAGGAACTAACTGATGAGGAGAGCGTATTGAATCCCATATTGCCTTGATTGAATACCTCTTAAGAGAGGCTTCATTCCATTGCAAGGTATCACCACTGCCAGTCATGAAATCTTGTGCCCTAGGCCTGCATTTGAGGATTTTCCTCCACAACCAAGAACAACTAGCAATAAGCTGAATATCCCAGATATTTCGCTGCTTGACCCTGTATTTATAAATCCAGGCAAACCATATAGAGCCTACCTTTGCTAATAGATTACAGAGATGTTGAATGACACAAGCCTGGTTCTAGGTTTTAAAATCACGAACCCCTAGCCCACCTTCCTTTGTTGGCAAGGCCACATAATCCCATGCTATTGGAGCCCTCTTCCTTGAACCCCCTTCTCCCACGTTTCAGAGAAAATCATTACAGATTTTCTCAATCAGCCGTAATACCTTCATTGGCAACAGGAAAATTGACATCCAGTATTGGAAAACACTTGTTATTACTGAGGAAATTAACTGCAGACGACCTGCATAGTTAAGAAACTTATACTGTCAACTTCTCACCCTTGCTGTTATCTTGTCTACTAACACCTGACAGTCATGAGAGCTCAGCTTCCCTGTTAATAAGGGAACCCCTAGACACTTGACAGGAAGAGTGTCAAGAGGAAACACTGTTGTTCTTGAAATAAAATCCTTCTCATCCTGAGATATCCCCGCACAGAAGAGACTGCATTTAGCCATGTTACATTGAAGGCAAGAGACAATGTAAAACTGTTCAAGCAATCGTCTGATACCAGCAACACCTCTCACAGAACCATTGGCAAAAACAAGCAGATCATCTGCAAAACACAGATGGGTGATCTCTAGTGCTTTGCATCTTGGATGATAAGGGATTTGATTTTCAATAACATCCATGTCAAGTAGTCTAGAGAAGACTTCCAAGTTCCATAGCTATGGTAAAAAAGGAATGGGGAGAGGGGATCTCCTTGCCTAAGCCCTTTACCCGCCGGGAAATACCAACATAATCCATCATTAAAAGCTACACTAAACATAGGGGTAGTGATGCAAGCTCTAATTAGATTCAGGAAGCAGTATGAGAAATTCATAGCATGCATTGCTTGAAATAGAAATTGTCAGTCTACCGAGTCGAAGGCCTTTTTAGATCAATCATCAAAGCACACCTAGGAGTAATAGACATCTTGTGATAGTCTTTTACTAGTTCAGTGGCTAAGAGGATCTTATCACTTATGGATCTGCCCTTAACAAAATCAGATTGGGAAGTTCCTATTACCTTATGAAGCACCCTAGAGAGTCTGTTGGATATCAGTTTAGATATACCCTTATAGACCACATTGCAACAGGATATAGGTCTAAAACCCTTCATTTGTTCAACATTAGGAATCTTTGGAATAAGAGCAAGAATGGTGGAATTTACCTGTCGTGGCATACTCCACGTTGATAAGAATTCTAGAACTGTATTTTCCACATATGTACCCAGAATATCCCAATCAGCAGTGAAAAATTCAGTTTTGTAGCCATATAGGCCAGGGGCTTTATCCTTTCCCATAGATTTGAAGACCTTCTTGATTTCCTCTCTAGTAATCTGGGTTTTTAAAACCTCATGATCCTCATCAGTGAGCTTCATTTTCACTAGCTCCAGAAATAAAGAGTCAGGATACCTCTGCACAGCAGGATCAGAATGACCAAGCAATCCTTTATAAAAAGAGACTGCCAATTCAAAAATTCAAAAATTAACAACAACATAAATTCAAAAATTAAGTACTACAATTGCTACGATAAGTAATTCATTATAACATAACAATATAACTACTAAAAACATTATTGTACGACTAATATTACTCCATCTCATAACTAACGTAACATAAATTCAACTAACTAACAACAACATAAATTCAAAAATTAAGTACTACAATTGCTACGATAAGTAATTCATAATAACATAACAATATAACTACTAAAAACATAATTACGCTATAATACGAAAATTAAATCATACTATAACTACTAAAAACCCATCATTAACCTATAATACGGAAAATAAATCATACCGAAAATTCCCCGCCTGTGTATTATGCTCGGTTTTGGTTGCTGAAATTTGAAGAGGGGGGAGTGGTTGTGTTTCTGTAAGTGCTGGTGGGCTGGTATTTATACTAAAATCTGCCTAATATTCACCGTTTTGGTCAAACCATCACCGCGTTTGTCTCAGACGGTGAACATTAGGTAGCTCATACCTAATTTTCACCTAACAGGGGTTGAAAACGTGCCTAATACTCACCATTTTAACCTAGAACGGTGAAGGTATTCACTGTTTTGCCCTAAAACGGTGATATATTCACCGTTTTAGTTTAAGGCGGTGATTGGTTCACCGTTTTAAAGTAAAACGGTGAATACTTCATCGTTTTAGGCTTAAACGGTGAATTATTCACCGTTCTTTTAAAACGCGATGATAGCTCGGAATGGCAATGGGTCGGGTTGGGGCGGGTTTTGTAAAACCCAAACCCAAACCCATGAGTTTATCCGCCAAAAAAACCCGGGGTAAAATCCGTTGGGTTTGAAAAACTCAAACCCAATCCAACTCGCTAGGTATCCGCGGGTTCATGGGTACCCGTGGATTTTTGTGGTAAAAATTTACAATAACAAGTTTCTTTCAAAATAAAAGTTTAACATCAATTTTCTCATACAAATTAATCATACAAAAAACACTAATCTAGAGCATACAAACAAATCGCAAATGATCAATACAAATTGTTCAAAATTAAAGATAAACATATATAAACAATAAGATTAATTGAAAACTTCTTCCTCGTCAACTAAGTTTCTTCACTCTCCACTTCATAATATCAACTTCATTCTAAATAATTAGAAAGAACAAATTATATATGTCTCCACTCTCCACAAATATATAGAATATTAGTTGTTTAAGGAAGATATATTATTTAGAATATTAAATATACCGGGAAAGTAATTATATGTGTGTGGGCGGGTACCCATGGGGCGGGTTTACCTAAACCCAACCCGACCCAGTGAATAGTGTAGCGGGTTTAAACCCAAATCCGGCCCAAAACCCGTCAACACGGGTTGGGTCGGGTGGGTACCCGTGGGTTCGGGTTTTGTTGCCATCCCTAGTGATAGCCTTCACTGGGTTTGTCAAAAACAGTGAATACCAAACATGTGTAGTTTTGGAAATTTTTTTATAACTTATGTATTTTGGGAATTTTTTTTAAGAACATGTGTACTTTGAGATTTTTTCCAAAAAATCTTCAGGCAAATAACTTGAGCGACGGGATCCGATGAAGATGAAGAGAGGTAGGTGACCTACTTGGGTAACTGCTATACGATGGGGGATCGAGTTTACGGGTGCCCGTGCACCTGCCCGTCAACCATCCGTCCCATGCGGGTTGCCACTTAGCCTATCTATCACCCGCCCATCAACCCACCAACATTACGCGGATTGGGTTATTTTACCGGTGTATCAGGTTACATCCACGGGTCACCACCCTGCATGCCCATCCCTACTTGCATTATTCATCTACATCAATTTTAGTTGCTCAAATTTACATGTACGCACAACACACTTGTCATACCAATGGTATATCGGCCAGTATAATTTCTTTCAACCGTTATTGAACAAAAATAGATCGGAGATCACCAATATGAAACAGTAGTAAAAAACAGTAAAAAAACACGATGATTTCTCATTAAATAAAATATTTGGGTAAATTGCAAGGTTGGTCACTGAGATTACTAAAAATGTTTATGTTTGGTCACTAAGAATATTTAATTCCATTCGTTGTCACTACAATTAGTGAAATACTTCAAGTTTGGTCACTCTCTGTTAGGGGTGGTAATCGGTAAACCGGTATCCGGTATACCGGATACCGACGGTATTTGGTATCGGTATTCGGGCGTGTGATTTTACATTCGGTAATACCGGATAAGAGTCGGTATTTACCGACGGTATACCGGTATACCGATAATACCTATTATAAAAAAAAAGTAAAATGCGGTGCAACCCTAAAAAATTGGAGACCCAGCAGCCTCCCTCCCTCTCGTCTTCCTCTAAGCAGCCGCCAGCAGTCCGCCCCGCCGGCCCAGCAGCGCTCCCCGCCGCCCCGCCTCCAGCAGCCTCCTCTTCCCTTCTCTCCATCCCGAAAGGCGAGACCCAGCAGCCGAGATCCACACCTCGTCTTCCTCTTCTCTTCAACAGGCAGCAGCCGCCGGCCGCCGCTTATTGAAGTCAACGATGTGAGAGAGCTCCCCTAGCTGAAGCTTTTCTGACTGCATGATTTCCGGTTATGGCCGCCGCCGCAGCTGCAGATGGGAGTGGTGTAACTACAAGGAAGTTGGGGATGTAGCGGTAGTGGGAGGCGCTTCGATGGCGGTGGAGTGGGGAGCAGTCCGCCGCAGGAAGGTTTGAACACCATCGATGTCGACGTTGGAGTGGGGAGCAGTCCGCCGGAGGAAGGGTCGTTGAACACTATGACCGCCATTCTCGAGAATTGGAAACGACAAGGGCGAGCTACTGAAGTAATTGAGAAGACGGCAGAGCCCCTGTCTTCCTCCCTCTTCTCTTCTCTTCACCAGCAGGCAGCAGCATAGTAGCATCTAACCGGTATTCGGTATACCGGTATTAATACCGGATACCGACTATTCGGTATTCGGTATACCGGTTACATTCGGTATCGGTATTCGGTGGGTACACTGTCTAGTTCCGGTATACCGAATACCAGATAATCGGTATCCGGTATACCAGATACCGACCGATTACCAGCCCTACTCTCTGTCTAATTCTATTAATTTTTGCTTACGGGGCAGTCAACTGTAAAAGTTGACAGTTAAATCATAAATGTGTGACATGAAAATTAAATAAAAAATAATTTTCAATTTTCCAACTCATTTTTAACTATTAAAAAAATTAAAAAATTTCACCTGATACCACATGGCGACCACCCATCTCCATCCCCCACAATCACGACGACCCGGGAGCAACTTGCGGTGACGGACTCCTCTGGCATTCCTCCGCCGTCGGCCGATAGTAGTACCGCAGAAACTCTGGGAGATCATCATCTGGGGAGCAAGAGACTCATTAACGAAGTCCTGAAAGAGAAGAAATCAGACACAGACAAGCTATTCGCCGTCGCTAGCAGCGGGTTCTCAACGATTTAGTTTCAGAAGGAGAATCGCCGCCCTCGAGGAATCGGCGGCTCGTTCAGGTACGCCGGCGGGAAGCTCAGATTCCGTGGAGGAAATAAACCATCATTTTCCTTCTTCTTCTTCGACTTCCACGTCGGAGGCGATAAACCCTCCTTCTCCTTCTTCTTCTCCCTCTCGCACCGACAATCAAACATGTTTCCGGAATGAACCGACCAGGACTTACGCGACTCGGAATGCGGAAGTCTGATTCACCTTCCCGTTGGTGGCCTCGTACCCCGCGTAGAAGAATTTGGCGTCGACGAGCTCGCGATTGCAGGAGGCGGAAGGGAAATCGGACGAAGCGGAGGCAGAGAGAGCCGCTGAAGTGGTGGTTGATCGGGTCGAGCGCGGCACCCTTTCTTTTCTCCTTTCAATTTGATTGACAGTGAAACCTAACTCAATTTACCAGGAAAAGCAGAAGGAAGAAACAGAACAAACAATGAAATTGAAGTATAAAGGGAGTTTCTTGTTAGATTTGTGCGGAAGCTAATTGGCTTCAATTTCCACGGTGGAAAGTTTAAAAAATTTATTTTATTATAATTTAATTGCCATGTCACACATTTAACGGTCAAATTTTTATAGTTGACCGATATGTAAGCATAACTTAACGGAGTTGGATGGAGAGTGACCAAACTTGAAATATGTAACTAATTTTAGTGACCACGAATGAAATTAATTATTTTTAGTGACTAAACATGAACATTTTTAATAATCGCAGTGACCAATCTTGCAATTTACCGTAAAATATTATAAATAGATTCTCTTTAATAAATGTATTTATTTATTTATTTATTTCTGAGTGATATCAATAGATGACAAGAGTTATTCATACAAATCTATCCAGGTCCCCTTACAATATATTATAATGAAGCCACCCCAAAAAATCGAAGATTCTAGCTCTAGATGAGACAAAAACAGTGCTTTACGCGCCACTCTATGGGCAGCACTGTTGGCAGTTCTAGGTATCGCCCTAAACTCTATACAAATGGACAAGGAGCCAAGGATCTGATGACACTCTCGTAGCACCAGACCACCTATCGAGTCTTCTATGAAGTCTTGCCGGATCTGCTCGACGACCACTTCGGAATCACCTTCAACTATCACGTGGTCAAAGATCTTCAGGTGATGATGAAAAAAAGCATATACTAAATTATATAAATAAATGTTATATAAATAGACAATTCATTTTGTGTAAACAATTTCCCAATTCTTTGTATATTTTGTAAAAATCGACATAAACTAAATTATACTCTAATCAGATCATACCACTTACTAAATTCATCCAATAAACAAGTTTTACAACCTTATACGCATGTTTATTAAGTCATTGACCTCGAGGATCGAACGCACCGGCTAACCCGTTTGCCGGCTGAGCCGGACCAAATGACTTGCCTTTGTCATAAACCTGGGTTTTAAAGAAACTACAACACAGCAATACTCCCCACCAAACCGTCTTTTCCCCCACGAGATTGACCTCGCCAACGACCAATTTCTTCTCGTCCAGTTTCCGGGGAGGTTTTCTGGATCCTCGCCGAGTTCCTCACCATTTCCTCTTTAGATATTCCGTGCCCGATCTCATTCGTGCTTTCTCCACGCATTTTGGATCTGCGCCTGGGTTAAACCCTACACCAGTCTGGGTTCCTTCTCTCTGCGGCAATCTGGGGGTTTCCGGAGATGGCGGAAGCAGGCACAAATTCGCGTTATGTCAAGCTGACCAAAGAGCAAGCCCCACTCGAGATTAAGCCCGGCGAGCTCAATCAGCCCATCGATGTCCCTCAGGTTCGGAATTCTTCCGAGACCCTTTCTTTGTGATTTTGTAATCGAGGCGGAGTCTGTCCGATATGCCGTGAAATTTGGGTTGGCGGCGTTGTCTGTGTGAGATCTTGTCGTTAATTGGTGGATAAATGTGTCTGGCAGTTGACTGTTCGCAAGTGCAATGAGTGTGGGCAGCCGTTGCCGGAGGACTTTGAGCCGGCGGCCGACGAGCCTTGGAGTACTGGGATCTTTGGATGTGCTGAAGATTCTGAAAGCTGTAAGTTCCTGTTCATATTTTCGCATCTAAAATGCTCTATGATCGTTGATGGATGAAGCAAGGTTCCGTTTTGAGATCTTATCATGGCTAATGTGCAGTTGATATCTGATCCTTTGATGCCTGTTCTATTGGGATTGTTTTCAATGATGAATGGGAAATGCCTCGAGAGTGTGGGGAAACTAAATTCCGCACATTTGTGTGAGAAGCCTGTGTAATATTAGGATACAATCTCTTCACTTACTGGGAGAAATGAGATGTTCATCATGGTTGCGGGAGTATCGAGTGATGCTGTTCTTGCTCTGTTATGGCTGTTCTGCAGGTTGGACAGGGCTGTTCTGCCCCTGTGTCTTGTTTGGGCGGAATGTCGAGAGGATGAGAGATGATACACCATGGACTACACCATGCCTCTGTCACGCTGCATGCATTGAAGGTGGTATTGCTCTTGCTGCAGTGACGGCTTTCTCCCATGGAGTCATAGTGGATCCAAATACATCGTTCCTTATATGCGAGGGTCTGTTGTTTGCTTGGTGGATGTGTGGTATTTACACCGGTCTGGCGAGGCAGTCTTTGCAGAAGAAGTATCATCTGAAGGTAAAATTTTTTTCTCTGATTTTTTGCTACGCCTTCATTTCGCTAACTTGATCGTTGGACCCTGGCTGAGTTCATTTGCAAATCAATTGCACTAGTATCTGTTGGGAGTGCTGTGCGTTCTGATTGGTTTTTTCTGACTGTTGTCACTGATCAGTAGACAAAACTCTTCGAGGAGATTGTATGATCTTGGATTTCTAGTTCTTTCTAGCCTTGGGATGACACTGCTGCTGGCCTTGTTTGTGGTTCAATAGTTTGTGATGAAATTTCTGGCCACTCCTTGATGTTAGAGATGCATCTGTATGTGAACTCTCCAGGCTTAGACCACTTTAATTCCTAGCATGCCGCCTGCATCAATCATGCCTAATTGGTGTATCATCCTGTTCTTAAACGAATTGCCCTTTTGAACTCATAAGAACATGAAGCTTGCAATTGTTATGACTAATACCTCTCAAATCGGGTTTTTGCAGAACGCTCCATGCGACCCATGCATGGTGCACTGCTGCATGCACTGGTGCGCTCTCTGCCAGGAGCACAGGGAAATGAAGGGCCGCCTCTCGGATAACTTTGTCATGCCGATGACCATCGTGAACCCCCCTCCCGTCCAAGAGATGTCAGCAGCAGAGACCTCCACCGCCGAAAACCATGATCATGCAGCTCCATCTTCATCAGATAAGAGTCCAGCTCAGTTGGAAATGCAGGTTCTATAGAAGCAAACCACCTCCATTAGTGAAACACAGTTGGGTCATGCGAGATTATTGTTCATTGTCCTCGATTTCGCTTTAGAACAAAAATCAAACTTGAACTACATACTTATCGCCTTTGGTGGCACCCCCTTTTGTAGAGTGAATTCCATAGTCCTTGGAGAAAGTTCATCTTCATCTATGGCTTGATGCATTGACGTGTTCATTGATTGAGGTAAGCAATGGCCGGCTGGGAGCTGTGCTTTCTTTCCAATGAATACATGTGCTGGGACCAGAAAAATATGAGGGAAGAAGAAGGGGAATTCTGGCATATGGATTTCCTGAGTAAAAAAGTTTGAGCCAGGTTCCCCATATTAAATTTTACTGACTTGTCCATTCTTTTATTATAGTTCTTGGCAGCTTTGTACTGCATGTCCCTGCTGCCAAAATCTTTTACCCTCTGTCTCGTACAACTTCATTATTGTCTGGGGTGAGATTCTTTCCATTGATCACCTTCTCTTGCATCTCCGTATACTGTCAAAAGCATAACTACTCCCCTCTTCCATTTCTAGATATCGACCTCTTCAGTGGGAAAACACCAAATAAGAATCCACCCTTTGTAATTGTTTTAGTTCAACACACTTATTACCAAAAATTTGGTATTATATGTTTGTTCTTATATGGGTTGTCCACATCTCAGACATTTTTATACTTCCATCATCATTGATCGTATTACACCACGTATTGCCCGAGATTGTGTTGTAATTATTGTTTACTCTTGTTTTACCCTATTACCAATACCATGATTTTTTTCTCATGAAACTAAAGATGTTTCGGATTCGTTCGAGTATTGAACAATCATATGACATTACATGAATTCTTACAATCCTACTTGCAAAATCCATGTAATCTTGAAATCCATGTACTCTAACACATGCATGCCTGCCAAACCACCCCTTAATCCCTACTATATTATTTTACGTGGAAAACACCAAACAGCAAAGGGAAGCTCCTCCTTTTGTCTGTTTCCAGAACAGATCAGAAAACTTGCCAAGCGCCCAAGCCAATACCGACATTTCCAATTTCTTTCTTTTTTATTTAATCCGTCATTTTCCTTCTCCCCTGGGGTTTCAGTCAAACCTCTTGTTCAAACGCTTTCAAACCCATTTCAGCTTTTGCCCATATAACACGCATCTCTCAACTCTCCCTCTCTCTCTCTCTCTCTCTCTCTCTCTCTCCACCGCTTCTCTCTACCTCCACTCTCTCTCTGTCGAGGGGCTTCCATGGAAGAGCTTCGGGCAGAAACCGGCGGGAGAGAAGAGAAGAGGAAAAGCACGACGCTGGAGAAGCACAACGACGGAGCAATGGTACAGTACTTCCAACCACCACCACCAAGGCCTCCGAGATTGCTTGCTGTCCCGGCCGTGGTGAGGCGAGCTGCAGCGAATCACGAGGTGAAGCTGGCGGCAATCGCCGTCGACTTCAACGTCCGGCTGAGATCCGCCGACATGCCGGGGACGATGCAGGAGCGCGCCTTCCGTTCCACCAGAGCTTTCCTCGATGCTTGCCCCGATAAGCGCCCCAATCCCACCCGTCTCGCCATGTGTTTGAAGAAGGTCTGTGCCAGAGAGTTGATTCCTCTGTTTATTTTTTGGCCCAACTCTGTTTTTGGTACCCAAAAAGTTCAAGTCTTTCTTTTCTTTGATTATTTCCACGTTAACCCAACAACCGCAATGAAAGACTTTTCTCGTCTAATTAAGCTCAGTTGACTTAAAATCGACTGCCTTTACTTGATTTGATTGTTTTTTTTTTGTGGGGTGATCAGGAGTTTGATGGAGCGTACGGGCCGGCGTGGCACTGCATAGCGGGGAAGAGTTTCGGGTCGTTTGTGACCCATGCCAACGGCGGGTTCGTGTATTTCTCGGTGGACAACCTCTGTTTTCTTCTGTTCAAGACGGAGGTCCGGCCGGTGGTGAAACCCAAACCACCTCGACTGCTGAAGCTCACCATCAAGGACTGAGAAAAACCCAATATGCATAGTCTCCCGCAGAAGTCCGTTTGTGTGTAATTTTGGAGATTGGGAAAAAAGAAAAGCAATCTGTCTGTGGTTAGGTTTTTGGGGACTTTAAATCACTGCAATATGGCAGTTACCAAGTTGAAAGTTTCTGACTTTCTTCTGTATAAATGTGGGTTTTTTGGTTATTGCTTTTAGGATCAAGGAAATATGGAATTTAATGGTGGTCCTGAACCAAATTTGCTTGAAGGGAACTTATTTGTTGCCTGATTCAGAAGAAACTTTACTGCAGTGTCCTACAGGAAAAGCTGCAGACTTTTTGCTTGTGGGTTATTCTCATGTGGTTACTGTCCATCCAAGGAGTGGTTTTTGGTTTATGATCTAAAAGTTCAATTCGTTAGTTTAATCTTCGATGGATTATGGAAAACCACCATCTGGCACAAATCAAAATTTGGCGGTTGCATTTTCAAATCACAGAGCCTCTTGAAGCCAACGGTCGCAACCCTTCAAACGATTATATATACATGCAAGACTGCCGTGATTATCACTACTCTGTATTATTATGCTTCTAAAATAAAATCATAACGCATCCCTGTGAGTTGTTTTCTTCCTACAACAATCACCATAACTAACTGTTAAGTAAAATCAAGAAAGAAACTGCCTTTGTGCTACAATTCAGCGTTGTTTTTGTGTTTTCATGTTGATCAGGAAAATGCCTCCTCTCGCCCTCTCCTCCCGTTTCCGGCAATCCATCACGCCGGATGCTCTCCGATCGTATCTCGCCGAATTCATCTCCACCTTCTTCTTCGTGTTCGCTGTCGTTGGCTCTTCCATGGCGTCGAGTAAGTCTAACGTGTTCTTCTCTATCTCCTTTTCATCAATTGACAACCGTATTTCTTCATCTGGGTTCTGATTACGGTCTGATTTTTCGTGTTTGGAAAAAAAAAAAAAAACAGAGAAATTGACCCTTGAAGCAGAGGGCGACCCGTCAAGTCTAGTAACCGTAGCCATCGCCAACACCTTCGCGCTCTCCTCCGCCGTCTACATCGCCGCCGGAGCCTCCGGCGGGCACGTCAACCCCGCCGTGACTTTCGGAATGGCCGTCGGCGGCCACATCAGCGTCCCCACCGCACTCTTCTATTGGCTGTCCCAGATGTTGGCCTCCGTCTTCGCTTCCCTCGTCCTCCGAGTCATGACTGTTTCCCAAGTAATCCCTATCAGTTTCATCCTTTTCGGTACCCATCAAAATCAGTTTTTGACCTAATTGGGTCTTCCTCTGTTTTTGTCGCAGCGTGTTCCGGCGTACGCGATTGCGGAGGAAATGACGGGATTTGGGGCGTCGATGCTGGAAGGGCTTTTGACATTTGTGTTGGTGTACACGGTCTACGCTTGCAGTGACCCGAGACGTGGGCCGTTGGTCGCGATTGGGCCTCTGGTGATTGGGCTCACGGCTGGAGCGGGTGTGTTGGCGGCTGGGCCGTTCTCCGGCGGGTCGATGAACCCGGCTTGTGCTTTCGGATCGGCCGTCATCGCCGGGAAGTTCAAGAACCAGGCGGTTTACTGGGTCGGGCCGTTGCTCGGAGCGGCGGCTGCGGGGCTTGTTTATGATAACGTTTTGTTCCCGCCGGAAGTCCCGGCGGATTCCATTAGAGGGCTTTCCGATGGCGTCGGCGTTTAATTCTTTGTAATTCTGTTTGGGATCTGTATGTAATATTTCCCGCTGTTTCTGTCTATTATTGTAGGATTTTTTTTTCTTATTCTTGTTTGTAGTTTTTTCGAGGGAAATGTTATTTATCGCGTGTGAGTTGTGACTCTCCCTCACTAAACCATGTTTCATTGACTCCTCGCAGATTTTATTGCAAAAGATTAATAATTGAGGATTAGTTACTCTAGGGATCGTTTCTGTAATTGACCAAGCAAAATGATCCAAACAGACGTTTCGGACGAATCTCCAGAATAGAGAGAAAAAAAACGTATCCAGCGGTGCAGAACTTTGAACTTCGAAGCAATCGAGATAAGTTTGTGCAACTGCAAGACTGCAAAGTTACAAACTTCACAGGCTCTTCCGAGCTAGAGCATTCTATGGCGCCGGGAGTTTTCTCTGCATTTCTGTCGCCGATATCTCTACCGCACCGACTGACGTGTGTTAACCCACAATTCATCCGGATTAACTCGAAGAGCCATCCCGCAATCTGTAATGTCGCGCAATCGAAATCTCAACACGAATTGCCGGTCTCCGACGACGAAGTCGAAGTGTCGGTTTCTGTACCGGAACACGGGGGAAGAGGGGCGGCTGCTCCGGGTCGAGGTGAACAGTTCCTTGAGCGGCAGAGAGCGTTCGAGGCAGCGAAGCTGGTGATGAAAGAGGCCAAGAAGAAGAGGAAGAACGATAGAGTTAAGGCCTTGAAGGTGAATACGGCGGTGGCTTGCTGTTATGGTTGTGGAGCTCCGTTGCAGACCTCGGAGCTTGATGCTCCTGGTTATGTGGCGGTCGATACTTATGAGTTGGTAGGTTCATAGATTGGTGCGTTCCAACTGTTTGTGAAATTGACTCCGAGAAGTCCGAATTCTTATTTTTCTGTTTCGGTTGGGGTCGCAGAAGAAGAAGCATCGCCAGCTTAGGACTGTGCTTTGTGGAAGGTGCAAGCTCTTGTCTCATGGACACATGATCACTGCAGTTGGTGGGAATGGAGGATATTCCGGTGGGAAGCAGTTCGTTACTGCGGATGAGCTCCGGGAAAAGCTGTCTCATTTGCGCAATGAGAAGGCTTTAATTGTCAAACTGGTGAGCAATTCCACTGAAATTTCGTCTCTATTGAACAACTGAAAAATTTGCCCTGGCATTTGGGTAAAGATTGTTGATTATTGGATGAATATTTCTGCGAGGTAGGTTGACATTGTCGACTTCAATGGCAGCTTCTTGGCTCGTGTGCGTGACCTCGCAGGCGCAAATCCGATAATATTAGTGATAACCAAGGTAAGTACCTTCCATTCTATATGCAGCCTTCTGACTTTGATTGGAAGTATAGAGACTATGCACAATTTCTGAACTTCATGCCTGCTTTCACCGACAGATTGATCTCCTTCCAAAAGAGACTGATTTTAACTGTATTGGTGATTGGGTTGTGGAGGCTACTACAAAAAAGAAGCTAAAGTTTGTCGTCTCATCACTGGCTTGTTCTTCCTGAAATACATACTGTGTTTTGGTATCACCAAATCTCATTGTATTGATATACCCATCTTCTTTGCTTCTAGTGTTTTGAGTGTCCATCTCACAAGCTCAAAATCATTAGTTGGAATAACAGGAGTTATAGCAGAAATTCAGAAGGAGAAGAAGGTACCATTCTGCTCCACTTTGTGAATGATGTCTTGGCTGAGCTTTAATTGTTTTCATCAACTAATACTGTTTGCCCCGTATTCTTATAATGCAGGGTCGGGATGTGTACATTCTTGTAAGTATCACGACGAACTGGAAGATTTGAAATTGAAACATTTGCACTATAGTTCACTGTATCATGAGTACCTCTATATGAATTCAAATTCCAGGTCAACTGACTTCACATACTTTTTATGCTCTAGGGTTCAGCAAATGTTGGGAAGTCGGCTTTCATCAATGCATTACTGAGTAAGTCCAAGTTGACCTAAGATATGTGGTATTAATAGATAAAACAAATAATTCTTGAATCTTTTGTCCACATCACTTCTAGGTGTGAATATTGGGATTGATTAAAGCAGCCATCTGATGTATTGATTCTTTTGTAATGTGATACTCTAGAAATGATGGCTGAGCGGGATCCAGCTGCTGCAGCTGCTCGGAAATATAAACCGATACAATCTGCTGTTCCAGGAACTACACTAGGTCCAATTCAGATTGATGCATTCCTTGGAGGAGCGGTATACTGATTTTGGCAGCCCACCAGTGATTCAGTTATTTAATTTCTTCGGAAAGTTCCTTCTGAAGTATGTATCTCTTGTTCTTTTTAACAGAAATTGTTTGACACACCTGGAGTTCACCTGCACCATAGGCAAGCTGCAGTTGTACATTCAGAAGATCTACCAATCCTTGCTCCAAGGAGTCGTCTAAAGGCACAGGTCTTTCCTGTAAGTTATCCTCACAACAACTTAAGGTAAAGATCTAATTTTGGGTTGAGTATCACGCTGAGAATTTGGATTTTGGTGTTATTAGAATGCAATTGTCGCTGGAGAAAATGGGATTGCAGAGAAATTGGAATCTGATGGCCTGAATGGTTTCACAATATTTTGGGGAGGTCTTGTCCGGATTGATGTGTTAAAGGTGTCTTTCTTTGGAACTCTTGATTCCCTTCATGAACTACTAATCCATGTATTTTATGAACTGAATTTCTTCCTTTCCTGGTCCCTTTAGGTTCTCCCTGAGACATCCTTGACATTCTATGGTCCAAAAGCATTGAAGATTCATATAGTGCGCTCTGATAAAGCTGATGAATACTACCAGGTACATCAAGACTTCTGTAGTAATAGTCACATGCATTATGCTTATTTTCTTGCAAGGAAATGTTCACTGATCCCTTTCTCATTTATATGCTGTGCTGCAGAATGAAGTTGGAGTTTCATTAACACCTCCAACTGGAAAGGACAAAGCAGAAAGCTGGAAAGGACTTGAAATCCAGCGACAACTATGCATAAAATTTGAAGAAGCGCATAGGTACTTTGCTCATTTCTAGTTATCAGAAGCCGTTTCTCCCCTCCTTTGAACTCTAAACTGAATCCGTTCATTACGTTCTGGGATAGGCCTGCAAGTGATATAGCAATATCCGGCCTGGGATGGATTGCTGTTGAGCCTGTTAGGAAATCGCCGACACCTCAGAGCTCTGATCAGCAGGTAGAAGAGTCTGCAAAAGAGCTGCATTTCGTTGTTCATGTCCCGAAACCTGTTGAGATCTTTGTTAGGCCTCCACTGCCAGTGGGCAAGGCCGGTGCAGAGAGGTACCAATATAGAGAATTAACAGACAAAGAAGAGGAATCAAGACCCAAATGGTACTATTAGATGATGGGTTTTGGTTTGTTATATTGTCTTGTACATATGCTTTTGACGACTGTACAATGCTTCGTGTATGTATAATTTTGTGCGGAAATAATCTTGTTATGCAATGTTGTACTATTGCTTATTCCTTTACACGTTGTGTACCCTTCAAATTGAAGGATATCATCACTGAACTTCAAAACCGAAGGTAATTTGCATTGCAGATTTTGTGAATTTGATGAAGTGGAGTTATCGAAATTCTTTTCCCGCCGGTAGAATAAAAGGAAATTATTACAATACCGAAATCAAGGCCTTGGGGCACAAAAAAATAAAAATAAAAATTGGGGCCTTGGAACTTCATCGAAGCCCAACAAGACCAAATATGGGCTCGTTTCGGCCCTTGGAAAAAGGGCAAAAGAGGCTAATGCAGAAAGTTCATTTTCCCGCCTTTTGTCTTCGAGAAGAGAGAGCGCGTCATCCCAAAAACTTCGAAAGAATGAGCGAGTTCCTCTCCGGCCACAGGCACACTCACGCCAAAGCTTCTGAACTCGTTCTGCATCTTCCACTTTGATATTCCGGGCTCAGCTCAGTGGTTTATGGCTTTCTAACTCGGAAAGCCCTGTAGCGAGCCCTCTTCAACCACCGGTTTCATTTCCCGTTCTTCGTTATCCTTGAAGCACCTCCCGGGTATCTGCTAGGGTTTCTTGTTTGAAATTCAAAGGAGAAATGCACATCAAGGAGGTGAGCTTGGAGGGGTTCAAATCTTATGCCACCAGGACGGTGGTGAAGGGATTCGATAAGTGCTTCAATGCTATAACTGGGCTGAACGGTTCTGGCAAATCGAATATTCTCGATTCCATTTGCTTCGTGCTGGGAATTACCAATTTGCAGCAGGTTCGTGCTTCAAATCTCCAGGAGCTCGTCTACAAGCAAGGCCAAGCAGGAATCACCAAAGCCACAGTCTCTGTTGTGTTTGATAATTCGGATCGGAGTAGGAGCCCGCTTGGGTATGAAGACCATTCTGAAATCACCGTTACTAGACAGGTTAGTTACAGTGTGCTTTATAGCGTAGATTCTCTTTTCTTTTATCCGTAATTTGGTTCGAGGGAGATTTTTTTGTTTTGTCCTTGTAGCATTTTGGTAGCTAATGTAGGGATTTCGGTAAATGCTATGTATGAAATTGCTCAACTTCTATATTGCTTCGAGAGACCAATTTTTATGGTAATTTGCAGATTGTGGTTGGAGGAAGGAACAAGTATCTGATAAATGGGAAGCTTGCCCAACCCAGTCAAGTACAGAACTTATTTCATTCGGTGCAGCTAAATGTAAACAATCCGCATTTTCTAATTATGCAAGGCCGCATTACGAAGGTCTTAAACATGAAACCTCCCGAGATCTTATCTATGCTTGAGGAGGCTGCTGGAACAAGAATGTACGAGACCAAGAAGGATTCTGCATTGAAAACGCTTGAGAAGAAGCAGGGTAAGGTTGATGAGATTAATAAGCTTCTTGACCATGAAATACTACCTGCTTTGGAAAAGTTGAGAAAGGAACGAATGCAGTATATGCAATGGGCTAATGGCAACGCGGAATTGGATCGGCTGAAGAGGTTCTGCATTGCCTATGAGTATGTTCAAGCTGAGAGGATAAGAGACACTGCAGTTGGTGAGGTGGAGGAAATTAAAGGCAAGATTAGAGAGATTGATGATAATACTGAAAAGATGCAGGTTGAGATAAAGGAGATGGAGACTGAGGTCTCGAAGTTGACAGCCGAAAAAGAAGCCAGAATGGGGGGAGAAGTAAAAGTCTTGTCGGATAAAGTTGATGCGCTCTCTCAGGACCTTGTACGCGAAGTGTCTGTGTTGAGTAATAAAGAAGATACTCTTCAGGGTGAAAGTCAAAATGCTGAAAAGGTGTCATGATCTGATCTTATTGACTGTTGTTGTTTGTTAGCACTTGGAGTTTTGGTGTCCTTCAATTATTATATTTTCTGTTTTCTCTCTGTTCCTTACTCTGAAAATCTTTTGATTTATTAGATTGTCCACAATATTGAAGACCTGAAGCAGTCCATAGAAGACAAGGCCACTGCTGTAAAAAGATGCGAAGATGGAGCAGCTGATGTCAAGCAAAGGGCTGAGCAACTTTCGAAGAGCTTGGAAGACTACGAGAAAGAATACCAAGTAAGCGTAGCAAGTTGAACATTTTTATTCGTGGTACTGAGAAATGTTTTGCTTTTCATATTTCCAAATGCTCATGAAAGTGGTGTCGATAGGGTGTGCTAGCTGGCAAGAGCAATGGGAATGAGGAAAAATGCCTTGAAGATCAATTAAGCGAAGCTAAAGGTGCCGTTGGCAATGCAGAAACAGAACTAAAGCAATTGAAAACAAAAATTAGCCATTGTGAGAAGGAGCTCAATGACAAAAGGAAGCAATTGAATTCGAAGCGTCAAGAAGCAGTTTCGGTGGAGAATGAACTGAATGCTAGGAAAGAAGATCTGGATAATGTTAAATCAGCATTAGAATCTCTTCCATATAAAGAGGGCCAGATGGAAGCTTTAGAAAAGGTTCATCTACTGTATCTCTGGCATACATTGTCCTTCAAGATGGACTTAGTTTTGCATCCTTTTCACCTAAATGCCTTTCTATAACTTTCCTTCTTTAGGATCGTGTGTCTGAGATGGAGCTAGTGCAGAAGCTAAAAGATGAAACAAGAGCTCACTCGGCACATTTATCAAACGTTCAGTTCACTTATCGTGATCCTGTGAAAAACTTTGATCGGACCAAAGTAAAAGGGGTAGTAGCAAAGCTTATTGAAGTGAAGGATAAAGCAGCAATGACTGCCTTAGAGGTAAGGAAACTGTGTATTCAATTTGTATGTGGTGCTTTAACAAACTTGTATGTGTTCTTACATTGTGCTTGCTAGCAGGTTACTGCTGGTGGAAAGTTGTATAATGTTGTTGTGGACACTGAAAATACTGGAAAGCAACTTCTTCAAAATGGCGAACTTCGCAGAAGAGTAACAATTATTCCTCTAAGTAAAATTCAAGCTCACCGAGTACCGCCCAGAGTTCAGCAGGCTGCTGCTAAGTTGGTTAGTGATTTCTAAATACCCCTGATTTTATGTCTCTTTTGCTCTTACTTCAATTACTTTTTGAAGACGATGAATATATGGTATAAATTGTTGATTTTTCAGGTCGGAAAAGAGAATGCAGAATTGGCACTTTCTCTTGTGGGTTATGATGAGGAATTAAAGGTATTGTACTCACCCATCTTGAAGATATTTCTGGGCTCTACTGGTTCTGTGCATCGTCCCAGTTCCAACTTTGAGGGTTTCTTTCTGAACTTAAAGTTGTGGCTATTTACTAGACTGTACAATGTTCAATCTCTGACGTGTTTGTATGTCTTCTTCAAATATCTATTCTGTTACTCCAAAAGCCTGTTGCCTGTGATATTGCTCGTTCTGAACTTTATTTTTGTTGCAGAATGCTATGGAATATGTGTTTGGATCAACCTTTGTCTGCAAAAATATTGATGCTGCGAAGGAGGTCAGCCTTCTCTTGGTTATCGTTACTTTTTGAACCATGAGGTCGTTCTATCAATTGGTTACCAGAGTATGATTCTCATCTGACTTACATCTGTCATGGAGTATGTTGCAGGTTGCTTTTAGTCGAGAAATTCGGACACCAAGTGTTACCCTAGAAGGTGACATATTTCAACCGAGTGGCCTTTTAACTGGTGGTAGCCGCAGGTTGGTTGCTCATATGCTTTAGTATTGCACATGGAGTTGCAGTTGCTTTCAGAAACTGTTAAATAGTCATCCTTTAGTCCTTGATTGTTCTTGAACACCCAAGGTCTTGTAATTCTTAGAGGGTGTGTGCCATCAGATTTCCCAAGTTATATTATTTCTTTATCCCTCAAGTATCGTATATAAACTTAATTAATTTATGAATGCATTATAGATAAAATTTTGAGGGGAATTGTTAATATGGCTGTGATGTGAATTCTGTCACAGAGGTGGAGGTGATTTATTAAGGCAACTTCATGAATTGGCAGAAGCTGAATCAAAGCTTAGACTGCATCAGGAAAGGTTGTCTGAGATTGATGCCAAGGTAGATTCAGGAAACTCTTTTGTAAAATCATGGCAGTTTCTTTTTTCCCATGTACTGAATAGTTATACAATCTATTTCGAGTAAACAGTATGTGTCCGTTTATCTGGCATAGCATTGAGCAGATCATATATATCATTGAGTGCTTGTCTTTAGGGGGTGTAGTACTTTCTTGCGACTCAATTCTCCTTTTCCGTTTTTCTGCATCCTTTCCTTCTCTACTTTTATAAATGGTCTAAGCTTCTTGGAATATAATACAGTACTCTTGGGATCTGGGTTCTGTTCATTGTTCCTAGCTTCCATCAAATGATGTTCTTACTGTAGCGAGTTGTGTGTTTGTGCATCTTCAATGCAGATCAAGGAGCTCTTGCCTCTTTACAGAAAGTTTGTGGATCTCAGGAAACAGTTAGAGCTCAAGATGTATGATCTTTCACTATTTCAAGGGAGGGCTGAACAAAATGAGCATCATAAGGTTGTATATCTAACTCTTTTCATCAGTAACATACTTTTCCTTGAGACTCATGCTGTGTCTCGTCTCACTCCATTGTGTCATAGCTTGGTGAATTGGTGAAGAAGATTGAGCAAGATCTTGATGATGCAAAAGTTGCGGCAGAAGAAAAACAGACTTTGTATGATCAGTGTGTCAGCTCTGTTGCACAGCTGGAGAAGTCAATAAAGGAGCATGACAATAGTCGGGAAACAAGGCTAAAGGATCTAGAGAAAAAGATTAAGAAGATAAAGGCCCAAATGCAGTCAGCTTCAAAGGATCTCAAGGTCAGGAACACTTTCTTTTTTCTGCCGGATTGCTATTGCATTGTTAACTTGTACCCACCAAAAGTTTGATACTGTGAAATGCTAAGAGTTCTCTAACTGAATAACTGCATTGAGTTGTTAACATGTTTTGTCTTGTTAATAGGAGCATGAGCATGAAAGAGAGAGGATGGTTTTGGAACGTGAAGCAGTCATCAAAGAGCATGCATCATTAGAGAGTCAATTAGCCTCCTTGATGGCACAAATCAATAGTCTTGGTGTTGAAGTACAAGAACAAAAAGCCAAGGTAATATCTAGACCTGGTTCGGGTTTTGTTACATGTATTATGCACGTAATTGCAGGAGTACTTGAACAAGGCTACTGTTGCAGGTAGCATCCATACGTGTGAATTGTGATAGTGCTCAATCTGAGCTTGATTCTGTCCGCCATAAGATGAAAGAATGTGATACCCAAATTAGTAGCATCGTCAAGGAACAGCAAAAGTGGCAGCACAAAATTACTGAGATCAAGCTTGAGAGAAAGAAGTTGGAAAATGAGGTAAATTTGTGGTTTTGCACTAGTACTATGCATGCTCAATGATCTAAAACATGATATTTTACCATTCTGTAATAGGTGAAAAGAATGGAAATGGAACACAAGGATTGCTCAACTAGAGTTGAAAAACTGCTGGAGAAGCATGCCTGGATTGTAACTGAGAAACAGTTATTTGGAAGAAGTGGAACTGATTATGATTTTGAATCACGTGATCCACATAGGGCTAGGGCTGAACTGGAGAAGTTAGAAGCAGAGCAATCAGGGTGAGTAAAGGGTTATTGTGACAGTGCATTCTATTATTTAACCGCAGGGCTATGAATGTGAAAGCATGCAACTTTTTACCTACCTTTCTGCATAAGAATAACTAGCCTTCTGTTTTGTGCAACACATGCTTTTCTGCAGACTTTAGATTTGCCTGTTCTATTACCTAGTATTGCTTGTAGCTTACTATTGTTTTCTTATATGAACCTACTGTAGTTTGGAGAAAAGGGTGAACAAGAAAGTTATGGCGATGTTTGAGAAAGCAGAGGACGAATACAATGGCTTGATGTCCAAGAAAAACATTATCGAGGTAGCTATCCTCATCATGCTACTAATGATTTTCGCCCCCAGTTTGTCGGTCATTAAACGTTTTATTGACTCTGTGTTTACCTTAGAATGACAAATCCAAAATTAACAAAGTGATCGAGGAGCTCGATGAGAAGAAGAAAGCAACATTGGAAGTTACTTGGGTGAAAGTTAACAGGCAAGTTATGTGGGGGGTTTTATGTAACACATTGTGTTCTTTGACATCAATTGTTATCATAATTACTAACATTGTCAAATATATTCAGCGACTTCGGAGCCATCTTCTCTTTACTATTACCGGGCACCATGGCAAAGCTAGAACCGCCAGAAGGTTGTAGCTTCTTGGATGGTCTGGAGGTTCGAGTTGCATTCGGCAGTGTCTGGAAACAGTCATTATCGGAACTTAGCGGAGGTCAACGTTCGCTGATAGCTCTGTCTTTAATACTCGCACTTCTGCGCTTCAAGCCAGCTCCTCTCTATATCCTAGACGAGGTCTGTGTCTTACTTATTATCTTAAGTGTCTATATTGCATCACATCAGTTTGACATGATCTGTCACTGCTATTATTTTTTAGCTGAAGTAATATCCAAGATTATTTGCTTTGTGGTTGGTAGGTTGATGCAGCTCTGGATCTAAGTCATACCCAGAACATTGGAAAAATGATTAAAGCTCAATTCCCGCAATCTCAGGTCCTACCATTCTTCTAATGTTGTTTATATTCCTCCCCGGCTTAACTCATTTTTTTGCGCTTACCAGTACTAGTTCCTTAAGTGCCGATGCTTTATTTTTCCTCCAAAACTATATGCTGCAGTTCATTGTGGTTTCTCTAAAAGAAGGCATGTTCAACAACGCCAATGTTATTTTCCGGACGAAGTTCGTGGATGGAGTGTCCACTGTCCAGGTGACTGCTGCTGCCAAGCAAAGCGAGTGACGATTGCTGGTAAGCTGCCAGCTGGTTCAAAGGCTTATATCTTGCAGCTGCATAGTATTAAACCGATGATTCTTTCCCTCGTGCGAAGACAACAGCTTATTGTTTTCCTGTGAGTTACTTCCTAACTTGTAAGGTTTGATTTTCTGTTCCCTGAAATTACAAGGTTGAAGCTGCTGAAGAAACCACTGGACCAACGCTTTCAGCTGTCTTCTGTAACGTATGATATTGGTATCAGACAACTTGGTATCTGACACCTTAACCATATAGTTGTCTGCAAACAGACTTGGTACACTGAGGATTAGGACTATTCGGATGTGTATAGAATATGAACCATTGGTTGCTTGCTCGGCAAGTCATTAGGTCGTTGGTGGATTCCCGGATACAGTAATTAATGAACCTGTCGAACTGTCAAAAACAGTTGCATGATCCCTAGTAGTAGTAGTCTGTGGAAGAACTTGTGGCAATGGTGATCTTCTGCCGCTTTGTCTGCTTGGAAAGCGAAAATGAGAGGGAATTTAATTTGAGACTAAAAACAACATCAAACAGTTAGCACTAGAAGGGCTAGGAAGATCGTCAAGCTTATCAAACACATCGTCATCGTCAGCAGCTTGAAGCCGGATGGGTCCAAGAGCTCATCTGGTGGCGCCGCGTTCCTAAGCTGTGAGATATTACAAGTTATTGTCGATACTCAAACCGACGATAAAATGAGAATTAGACAGAATTATCATCATCATCAATTTTAGTTTAATGTCAATGATTAGTTTTATACTTTATTTTGAGTTATGTTTTATTATTGTTATATCTTCAAATACAAGTTTGCACATGTTGACTTGTAGTGTAAAACTTTACTTATTTAAATCTAAAGATGAATGAGAAATACCCAAAAACTATGGTTTCATTTTCTCCCCACCAAACTTTCATTTTAGTATCAGAGCCTGCTTAAGCAACCCTAGCGGTGGCTCAAACAAAAATAAGGGCTTTCCAGTTGGGCCCCCACTAGAAAGAAAGTCGTAGTCCCCGATCCGTGCTCTTGGCCTTTGCCTAACTTCTTATTCTATGATCGATCGGTATAAACACCAACAGCTACAAATTGGAAAAGTTCTCGCATATTCTTTCCTTCATGTTTCCACTCTATTTTCATTACGAAGATGTATCACGTCAAGATCCGTTGCTCAAATCGAATCACACCAACATTATGGAAGTTTCTGGATTGTGTAAAATAAGAGTAGTACCAAAGGCACCTTCTGAGGCATTGTCCCATTTCATTTAGCCGGATATGTAAACGTTTCACCTGTACTTGATACTGTCAAAATACTTAAACGATCGATGAACACAAGAGTTTTTTTTAATGTGGTATCGCCAGTATGGCACTAGTCCACGGAGAGGATCTCCCTCTCAGGTTTTACGGCTTATTATTTTGTTAATCGTCTGATACAGGTTACAACGATATTTATAGGTTTGCTATAACAAACCCTAACTACAATTACACTTTGGTACCTATAATTTAACACCCTCCCTCAAATTGATGTCGGGATCGTAACATCAATTTGCTAGATAGGTACTAGTGTCGACTCGAACTAACTGCCTTCGTCAGAATATCTGCTGTCAGATCTTCAGTAGATTAGTAACTAATCTGAATAGACCCTTCTGCTACTAACTGCCGTATATAGTGAATATGTACATCTATGTGTTTCGTTCGGTCGTGGAGAACTGGATTAATCGCTATTTGAATAGCGCTCGTATTGTCACCATATAGTCTCATCGGCACATGACATGAAACACCCAGCTCTTCTAGCTGTCTCTGAAGCCAGACCATCTCCGAGCTTACTTCTGACATCGACCTGTACTCGCTTCTGTAGAAGACTTCGAGACCTTGTCTTGTTTCTTGCAGCGCCAAGAAACAAAAGATTGTCCAATCCTAATACACCAACCAAAAGTAGATCGACGTGTATCCAGACAACCTACATAATCTGCATCTGCAACTGCTTCTATAGTTGATTCACCCATTGAAGGAAATAATAGACCAACATCAGAAGTATGCTTCAAATATCTTAATATCCTGTTAACGGCAATCTGATGACTAGTTCTTGCAATCCCCACAAACTGACTCACAACCTACATGGCATAAGATATATCCGGCCGAGTATGGGTCAAATTAATTGGACTCCCTACGACACTCCGATAAACCGTTTGATCTTCCAATAATTCTCCACTTTCTCTGCTCAGCTTCAGATTTTGTTCCATTGGTGTAGAGCATAGTCATCAATCTGAAAACTCTGTTGCAGACAAGAGATCTGAAATATACTTCTTCTGATTAATAAAATATCCTGCATTTGACCTCACTACCTCCAATCCAAGGAAGTATGAACCTGGTCCTAATTCCTTGAGATTAAAGGCATCATGTAAGGATGCAGTTAGTTCCTGAATCCCGTCTCGGTCACTCCCTGTGACCACCATGTCATCTACATATAATAGCAATACTACAATGCCATCCGCTGTCTGTTGAGTAAACATTGAGGGATCATTCTGGCTGTGTTTGAATCCTGCTTGTAGTATAGTTCTGTGAAATTTTTCGAACCATGCTCGTGGAGCCTGTTTTAACCCATATAATAAACGTTTCAGTTTGCAAACCATACCTGTACCACCTTTTGTATACCCGTCTGGACACTCCATATAAATAGTTTCTTTAAAATCACCATGTAAGAAAGCATTCTTCACATCAAACTGTACCACTTTCCAATTTCGCATAGCTGCAACAGCAAACAAACTTCGAACCGTCTGCATTTTTGCCACTGGAGCGAAGGTTTCTTCATAATATATTTCATACTCCTGACGGAAGCCTTGTTCTACTAATCTCGCCCGAAATCTTTCTATATGCCCATCTGGTTTCATCTTCACGGTATAAACCCAACGATTTCCTATCACCTGCATGCCAGGAACTCGTGGAACTACATCCCAAGTATCATTCGCCTCCAATGCCTGACATTCATCTTACATGGCTGCATTCCAATAGGGTTCGTCTTTTGCGAACCTATAATGAGTGGGAATAGGAATTGGTTCAGCTGAGAAACCCACATAGTCATGCATATGAATCGGAGGCTGTCACATCGCTGTTCAGGATGATCGCCGAAGGATGGGCAACGGGGGTGGTGATCCACCTATAGATTCCTCGAATTTGGAACATGAGGATGATGCTTCGTTCGAAGTAGAAGATGAAGCCGACTCAGATGATGAGAAATGAAGTTGTTGATGTCCTATGCTGCCCGACAAGTTGCTGCCAGGAGAGGAAGCACCTAGGCTCGACGAGGAGGAAGTAGTATGGACGGAAACACTTGGTGTAGCTGGTGGGGTGTGATCCAAGTGAAGGTGGTCATTACCTCTCTGATCCCCATCATGACCGTCATCACCACGTCCTTGAACAAGAGGAGGAGTAGACGGATCAAGTACCACATGCGGGGAATCTACAAATGTCGCCTCTTCCTCCAAGTCACGAGAACCCATAGGATAGTACATTTCTTGTTCTAAAAATACCACATGACACAAGACTCTAATTCCTCTTGAGGATCATAGCATAGATACCCCTTTTGCCGAGGACTATATCCAACGAAGACACAACGGGTTGTCTTCGGCTCCAGTTTATGACGATCACGTTTGGGCAAGAGAACGAAACACACACAACCAAAGAACCGTAGGAAGGAGTAGTCCAACATCGTGGAGTAGAGACTTTGATAAGGAGATCGCTCATCCAGGATAGGTGTAACCTATCTATTGAGCAAATACACAATAGTAATAACCGCTTCAGCCCAAAAACCAGTGGGAATATGAGAATGATGAAGTAAAGCACGAGTAAGCTCAAGCACGTGGCGGTGCTTTCGCTTGACAACGCCTGTTGAGACACACCAAGAAAAGATAGATAGGACAAGATGTCGTGTTCGGCATAAAACTCCTAGAGAGGGGTGGAGATGAATTCACTCACGGGATCTGAACGGATAATCTTGACGGTCTTCCCAAATTGAGTGCGGATGAACTAGATGAAGTCCTTAGCATACGTAATGAGTTCAGATTTCTTAAGAAGGAAAAAGATCCAAGTAAAGCGTGTCACGCGATCAATGAACAAGGCAAAGTAGCGATACCCCAACCTGGAAGTGATAGGAGAAGGACCCCATAGATCCGAGTGAACCAAATCAAAAGGCTCGACATAGGCCGTGTCACTAGAATGAAACAAAGACTGTGACGCCTTGGCCTCAATACAACTGACACAAGGAGGTGGAGAGGAAAAATGAGAATCAAGCTTCACAAGCAGTAATTTATTCTTGAACATAGACAACAACCGTGTTGTATGGGGATGGCCAAGCCGATTATGCCATAAATCCGATACAGAAGACTAAACTGTAAAATCCATACTGCCAGATTGTATAACAGAATAACCAAAGGAAATATCCAAACTGAAAGCCTTCAAAGAATTCTCAAAATCCAAACTCTCAGCACAATCCGAATGTTCAATTTCTGAAAAATCTAAACTACTAGCTTGAGCATCCATCCGCCGATCAGCTCCAGAACCTTGGCGAAACTCATCTAGTACGAACACTCGGCCATCCCGTCTACCCCTTCCGATCACCCTCCCTGTTATCGGGTCCTACACCATACATCCGTCAGAGGAAAAAACAATATCACACCCTTCTTCAGTCAACTATCCCACATACACAAGATTAGGCACTAATTTCGGAACATATAACTTATTAGGTAGACAAACAGAAGAATTGGAAGTTGTGCCCACCCCATTAACAGAAACATGATCACCACTAGCAACCTGTAAACTCATGGAAGTACCAGGACGTAATGATGAAAAATAATGACGATTTGGGGTCATGTGGTTGAAGGCATCTGAGTCTAATAACCACCGAGAGGAATTACCTGACGCAACACCAGTAGATAAGGCCGAATTCAACGCAGAGGGAAGAGCCTCTTGTATGGCCTCAGCAACCAGTCGCCGCACAAGAGAAGGGTCCAGACCCGGGATGACTGATGAAGAACCCATAACAAGGGGTGAGTTAGCAACCTCAACAGCATAGCTAGACCGGGACGAGCTAGAGAAACCAGGAGGGAAAGGTGAGCGTCCCTTCTTCACAAGCTGTTTACACTCTAAGATGATGTGACCTGATTGCTTGCAATAGATGCATAAATTCCTGCATTTATAGTGAGGCTGAATATGTCCGACTTCCCGGCAGAAATGACAAGTCAGAGTAGTGGTGTTACCTTGCTCGAATTGAGGTTTAGCCGAGCACTGCGACTCGGGACGGCTAACAGCAAAACAACCTCAGAACGATGGCGATCAAGCTGAGCCTGACTCTTTAACTGAGTTTCATCACGTACCAGCTCGGCAAAGTCCTCACCAATGGACTGCACGTTACGATGAATAAGAGAGGCCTGAATGGGCTCAAAGTCCGGACGTAGCTTCATAAGGAATTGGAGCAAACATGATAACGATGTAATTGCACATGTTTGCACCCCTAGTTCTAATCCGTTTGCGGGGCGTAGTCATGTATTTTTGGCCTATTTTACGTCGGGTTATGCTACTTTGTCATATTTCAGGTCCCAGACGTCGAAGGAAAGGCTAAGCACGAGTTTCGGGGCATTTGGAGGTCATTCGGTCGAGCTGGGGCCAAAGCACGGGCAGAAGGCATGAAGAGCGCGACTGTGTACACGAAAAGAGCACGCCAGTGTTTTTATTGCCGAGAGCTGAACCGATGAGGAGGAAAAAACACGGGCTGGACTAAACACAAACATGACCATGTTCCTGGACCGTGTTATTTATGCCGAGGCTTGATCCAAGGTGCTCCTGCGATGTCCCAAAACACGGGCGAGAGTGACAGAAAACACGACCGTGTCCATCTATAGCTACGACCGTGTTTTGCCAGATGTGGGCGTGTTTTTAACACGTGGCAAGGGCACGGACATGCAAAAGCAAAACACGGCTGTGCCCTCGACCGTGTTTTTCCTAGAGTCGACCTTTTTAGGCATATTCGAGCCAAAGGAGAAAAAAATCCGAGATTTAGAGAGAAAAAGGGATACCTAGAGAGAGAAAGTGACGAACCTGATTCTGCAAGTGTCCTTGATCGATCTCCATCACCATTGGAGCGCGGCTTGAGCTTGGAGAAGATCTGATTGAGTGCCAGAAGCAGATTCCCATCCTTCACAGTATGGTTTCCGCATCTGAGCTAGATTTTCCATCTCTCTCTATGGAGTAACTTTCTTATTCACCTGGGTATGAAGAACCCTAGATTTGTATGTTAGGTCTGATTGTATGAACCCAAGTACAGAGTCAGTGGTATGATTATGTTCAATTGAGGTTTGATTTGTTGAATGGCATGAATCCTGATCAAATTCCTGTTGTTTCTGCTTTAACCTAGAAAGAGAATATTTGCCTAGGTTGATAGAGCACCCTTGATTGAAGGTAGTGAATTGGCGAATTTAGTCGAGGAGTCAATTCACTATTCTATACCGAATTTACTTCGGTAGTGGAGGTTTGGTTCGTTAAGGCCTCAATCTGTTTACTCTGGTGGAGGTTATTCGCCCGCTGGGGACTCAGATTGAGAGGGTCTGGAGAGCTTTAGTCGAGACTTCAGACTGTTTAAGAACCTCCCGCAATATAACTATCATTGAACCTGAACTTGGTAAATTATAATCCGGCTTAAATACAGTCTAGGAGGAACCATATCCGGGTGACCTCTCTCGACTTGAAAACAACCTTTTTACCTGCTTTGCTTGTTTGCTTGTTTGGATTTTCACTAAAGTTTCACTGCTAAATAATAAGAACTCACGGAGTGGTCGTCACATCTAGGACCCGGGTTGACATTAAAACCTAAACCCGCTATACTACGCTTTAGGAGGTGGTTACACTTGGCCATTTTCTAGAGTGACGGTAAGAGCGAGTCAAGTTTTTGGCGCCGTTGCCGGGGACGGCTAGGTTGTTGAAGAAACGTGAATTCTGTTAGTTTAGCTTTTCTTTTTAGCATTGTTTGCTTTGTCACACTTGTGCCTTCACGGGTTTTCTACTTGATTGTGTGCAGGTAGTGCATGACCCGTAGCCAGTCAGGAGGTTTACTGCCGTTGGATCTGGAGCTTGAACGCACCTGTCGCCAACTTAGGAGACAACAGCGAGCTAGACTGGCTACGGAGGAGCGCATAGACGTCCATTTGAGCAGCGATTCCGAGGACGAGTACGAGATGGAAGGAAAACATAACCCGCCCCAGGGGATACCTCTCCAAGTTCCCCCGGTGAATCAGATCTTGGGGAACAACCCCATACCCCAGGTAGATAGGGTTCAGCATCAACCACCACCGCCGCCGGGTCCCACCTTGGAGTACTACTACACTCCACGGGTTGCTGATATCCGCCCTGTCATCCTCTACCCGCCCATTCCAGCGAACAATTTCGAGATCAAGCCATGTTGGATTCAACTCATTACATCCTCTATCCAGTTTCATGGCTTGAAGGATGAGGAGGCAAGGGTGCATCTTTCCCGTTTCCTGCAGCTGACGAACGGGTTCAAGCTAAACGGTGTCCCTGATGACGTAATCTGCCTTCACCTCTTCCCCCATTCTCTGGCGGGGCATGCTAAGAGGTGGTTGGAGACCCAGCCCCCATTGCCCATCACTTCTTGGGACGATCTGGCCGACAAGTTTGTGCACAGGTACTATCCAGCATTGAAAACCACAGATATCCAGCGTGAGATCACTCACTTCCGCCAAGAGCCAGACGAGTCACTTCGTGATGCATGGGAGCGGTACTCGGGGTTTTTCTGGCAGTGCCCCCATCATGGTTTCAGTGATGCATTCACCGTGGGGAACTTCTACAGTGCTCTCTCTCCGGAAAGCCAGAGGGTGATTGAGGCTCTATGTCCAGGAGGGGACATTCTTACTAAGACTCCACCCGAACTGAACCAGATGACCAGTACCTTGGCTGCCAGAGATCATTCTTGGGGGCAGAGCACCAGAGGCAGGAATTCCCGGGATCGTGGTGTACATGCCATGGAGGCCAGGTCTGGGCTCGAGCAGCAGGTGGTTGAGTTAGTACAGACATTGAAGCACCCCAACAGTCTTATTCAGTAGTGTGAGAGCTCGAACCATCTGGTGGAAGACTGCCAGGCTATGCGGGAGTCTTCTACCCCCCAAGAGCAGTTGGACTTCATCGGCAATGCTCGGCGCCTTGACCCATACAACAATACATACAATGAGGGGTGGCGCCAACATCCCAACTTCGCTTGGAATAGCAACACCACTAAACCACCTGGTTTCCCAGCACCAGCAGGTGGTTTTCAGCAGAGGCAGCCTTTCCAGGCCAGACAGGGGCTCGTTCCACAGCAACAGGCTTACCCTCCCAGACAAGGGAAACCATTCCACCAACCGCATCGCCAATATGTCGAGCCAACAGCAGCTGCAGCTCCAGATAATCAGATGACCGAGCTGAAGAACATTTTGACGGCATTCATGACTACCAGCCAGACAAATTT